GTAACAAATTAGAGTGTTATGCAAAGTAATGCTTTAAGCCAGCTTCTCTAAATGCGATCTTGTGTAACTCAATGAAACACTAGTGTAAAAAGATACGGCCACTCCAGGGACAGAAGTGGTTTTTCTGCTGTCTCTCTTCTTAATACAAAGTAAGCAGTAAGAGCTCAGGACATTTAGGAGCCATCTGCAAATGTCTGCCAAGGTAGCAGGTGTGCAAGCACTCTTATGACAAAAAATTTGCAGTGTGGCTCGAGCGATGCACGCCCCCGCACTGCCCTCCAGCTTCTCTTCATGCTCCTTCACCCAATAAGATATTGCCAGGGTGCCTCCTCTCCGCTTGATGAAAGCGGGAAGGCAGACCCAGCATGCCGGACGATATTAGTGCATGTGCTCCTTTATTCAATGAAGATGGCTGGTACGTTTTACCTCTGCGTCAGCTGCATTCATTGCCACTACTAGCGGGCTATCGCCAGTGCAGAGCACACAAGATGCGTCAAGCAATGTTATCAATTTGTTCTTTATATGTATTATGGCAGTGATGACAAGAAACTACCGAAAGTGTTGATATAATTCCTGTAACAATAAAAATACAGTAGGGAAATTTCTAGAAGCATGTAAAAAAAGAAAAGCAGTATAAGCACACCTGAACCCTTTTGAGGGTTGTTTTTTTTCTTCACGAAATGTGCCCCAGACAGGGTATTTCTTATTGCTGAATTGCATTCTTCAGATAAATTCAATTAAGAAAAAGCTAGTCTAAAATATTTCAGGGGGACTGTTACGTGTTGTAACATGTCACCAACGCGGCCTCGCAGCGTGCGAAGTGACTTTGGTCTCCTCCCGCAACAAATTTGCACGCACTGGAGAGACCACGCTCCACGGAGGCAACAACCTTCGGAGCACGCCCAACACGAGCCTGTCGCGCCATCTCGCCACTCATAATGAAAACGCGCTGTAGTTTTGAAGCTCTGAGGACAGCGAATCGGTGGACTCGAAACAGCGAAAGGGCTTGCCGTTAGCATTCCAGGTGGCATAGTTGTTAGCGTCAGCGCGCTGGGAATCGAGAGGTTGCTAGTTTGATTTCATGCGACAGATGTTTGCCTTCAGTTTTTTTTCTTTGCAAACTCTGAGTATACATTTTTCAATGCCACTTCTGTGACAGAAGTTCGTCAGCCATAGAGTTTCATACAATATCACCTAGAAGGGAATCTGGCACTAGTGTCTATGCGAGCTCCTTAAGCGGCGCTTGTACCCCTATGGGAATCATGGGGGGGGGGGGGGGAGTGATTTTAAATGAAAAGAAGAGAAAAGTGAGCCCTGTAGCTGTCTCTCAGGGAGAGGACACCTCAGTAGTAGCTCACGAGGGATGTGGGTAGAGGAGGGATTAATAGAGTAGGATTAAAAGGTAAAGAGATAGAGAGAAAAGAAGGAGAGAGCGAGGCACAGGGACAGTGAACGACGGAAGTGAGGAGAAGACAGGAAAGATGGACACGGTGCAGGAGTCCGAGGACGGGGCATTACTGGCGAGAGCTCTTGTCGGCGTCAGGAGATGGCGTAGGGCAAGTCAAGTAGGTGAGAGCTACGCTGTCGTCGAAGATCGGCGTCAGGAGATGACATAAGGCCAGCGCTACGCTGGCGACGGAGATCGCGAGGGGGCGCAACCGGTCAGCACGGAATCCAGCAAGTGAGTGGGAATTATGGGAAGTACAGGCATTGGATCCGCTTCCGATGGATGATGTTCTTGAGATTTTTGTCGCTTTTTTTCAGAGTGTAAAACAAAGTAGTATGAACTTTATTTATTTAAAACTTGCTTCAATTATGTGTACTCAAGCTTTATTGCAAGAAGTTTTTTTGTCCAGGCAGCAAAAGTGAAACCAGGGCAAATTCAGTCATCAGGGTATGCATAGCTCTGCATTGTGTTCTAAATTTCGCATCAAGATTTAATGAATTCTTTTTTAGAACACTTAAAAGCAAACATGCTGTTTTCTCTCGAAAGTATGTATTATGATTTTATGGAAACAACAGTACAGTATTAAGTGAGAAACACGTAGTGTTCCATCTTCTGCGACTCTAGGTGTGCCTGTCCCTAGTCCTCCAGTGGTCTGCCCCCAACGCACCTCTAGTTTTGTTGTGAAGTCGAGTCAGCAGAGCGTGACGAACCTGACGGTGCATCTACTTAGCTTTGTCATTGCTTTGCAGTTAATTTAAAATGAGTTTAGGCATGACGCGCTCGTGAAAAACTTGAAACCGAAGCATTATCCTGCACTGGCATGAGACGCTACATCTATGCACAGCGGTGAGTGGACGACGCTTCATTTAAACTGCCAAGTATGAATTGTAAGTCTCCAACGTCACAGCAAATCAGAAGATCTAGTGGTCGTCAGCCTATTCGAACAACAAAGGCACTGCTTCAGCCTTTTTCACCGCACCCCACTACCCGAGCTGCGCAAACAACAAAGCTGAAATTGTCGAAAAAGGTCCGTAGACAGTTCACTAGCTAATCATATCCAATCCGAAGCCTGTACTTCCTATGATTCTTATTGACGTACACAATCGCTGTGCCAGAATGTTCTCTAGGTATTATTGTATGAAACTCTATGGCGTCAGCGAAGCCGTGATGAACCCTGGCATAAAACACTTTCGTGTTAAACCTCAGTAGTTGAGAGCATGCCTGGAAAAGGAAAACAGGTTCGAAACTTATAGTAATTCTTCGTCTTCTCACCAACGAGACAGAAGCAGTTCTTGTGAGTCCCCGAAACTGGGAACACAATCACAGTGGCATTGTTTGTGTCAGTCTGCGCCTGCACAGAGACAGTTGTAATCGTGTGCCCGAGAGCAATAAACGAGAGAATAATAAATTGCTCACCTTTTTAAAGATTCTAAACTGAAGAACTATCGCTATTGCAGGCTGAACAAGTGGGAACCGGCTGACAAACGAAATCTAAAGTAGCCGTTGCACTACTGTAGTAAACCATATAACAAAATGAAGAAACATTGCTAGCAAGGAAAAGATTCTATGAATTTCCGCTGTGTGGCACCACATTCCGATCAAGAAAAATGATCGAAGAAGGTGCAGTGTTTTAAACGTACAAGCAATTAAGTTCTTGCACATTTTTGACCATGTAGAGCTGTTAGAAATAGAATACATGTAGAAACCTGCTCAAAAGTTCACAAGACCCACTTTCATTAAAATACCTGGTATAGTGGCCTGCGAACTTTTGACCCTCCCCCCCCTGTAAGTCTTTGAAAGTCAAAGGGTTAAGAAGATTGTTTAGGAACTATCAAAGCAGTAATGATTTTTCACAAGAAGTCGCAATCTCTTAGGCGATTTCATTAAGAGATTGTCAGTGATTATCAATGAGAGGGGCAACATTTTCACTGTTGCCCTGCTGACAAATGGTCATCACGGTCAATCTATATACTGCTGGGCTTCGTTACTAACTTACTTGGTTAATGGCATGTTGTGAGCTAACTGGAAAGTGTTTCCACCTAACGAATATGTTATGGCATGGCTGAGGCGCCTGTTCGTGTTGTTGCACCTTGGGTACAGCAAAACGTCTGTTTGTTGCCCTAACAAAATGTGACCTGCCATGGTTGGTTATTGGCGATAATGTTGCATTGCTAACCAAATATATTCACTTCAAGGTCGAATAACGGTGCACTGTCAATCAATGTGTGAAATTCACATGACCCAATTCCTAGGCACTCAATATGACATTGAAAGAAGAAAATGAGGTAAAAATTGTTTTCTATGTTTTAGCAATTAATTGTAATTAGCTTGTAAGTAAATATCTCATCATTTTTCAGCCAATCATGTTTCTTTTTGATGCAAAACAAATGAAATTATAGGCTCCTGATGTTTGTGCAATGAGTTTTTCGTCGCATTAATTTCCAGAGAAAAAAAGGGATACTTTTGTTGTTAGTTCTGGATCCCGGCACGTCAAACGACTCATTGAATTGAACATCGCAGTGCCTTCACCAAAGCGGCCTGCTACGATCACACGCAGCAGGCAGAGTCAAGTCATATTCACTGTGAAGAAGGTTCAGCTCATGTATTTTGTTATCTTTTCACCATAAGTCAACACAAAAAGCATAAACAAATTGCTTACAGAAATGTAGTCACCGCCGCTAAAGGGGGAGATATAGAAACCATAGTGCATTTTTCGCTAGTTGAAGTGCATAGCTTAAAATTTTTGTCAAGTTGACTACACTTGGCGTTCGGGGTTTGTGCTTACATAACAACTTCACTTTTTCTTTCCAATAAACTTTCACTTGCGAGTACGGTGCCGTGTGTCTTCCCTCTCCATCTTGGCTAAGTTTGTTTCCGTCCTATTTTTCTTCACAAGCCGCGTTGCTCAGCACCAAGGCACGGATTTGAATCCCGTCTGGGTGGGCCTGTTGTGACGGAGGGGTAAGAGAAAAACGCCCGTGTCCTAAATTGCGGGTGCGCGTAAACAAAATGAACTTCGGGTGGTCAGAATGAACCTGCAATGCTTACTATGGTGTGCCTTATTGTTATGCTAATGGTTTGTCTAGTAAAACCTCAAACTTCAGTGATGTTAATTACCAGCTCGATCCTAAAGTCCATATTAATACCTTCAATCTGTAGGACGAGTTCAAGTACTAGTACGTTGATGTACACTTGCTCTGTATTCACCTTAAACGAACCTGCTTGATGAAGTGTATGTATGCTTATTATAACGGGTCACAGTATTTATTTGTTTATTCATACATTCTTTTTCTACTTATCTACTTGATATCAACATCATTCGGGGGGTCATTACAGGGAGGGTAATGTACATAATATTCCCATGCATAAAGGATTATACTCTAAGTGAAAAAAATAACTTGCACTATTGGTAACAAACATTAGAAGTACAAGGATCAAAGAACAGTTGTACTACAATGAAAACCAACATAATTAATGATTTCAATCCCTTGACTCTGTGAATGTGCAGACCTTCAAGTGGACGTGCACCATCGGAACAGTTCAGGCAGTTCGGGTGGCTCGGCCTCTGTAAAGCAGGAGCGGGGATTCCACGGGACCAGCTCGGTGGTGCCGGGACCAGGCAGTCCGGACTTTGCACTCGCTGACGAAGTCCTGAAGGAAGGTGGGCGTCTCAGCTGACTCTTGCCGACGCCGAAACGAGCTCACATTTTTAGCATTTTCGAGGATACTGTGCACCACAGGACCGATTGGCAAGGTGTTTGGTGTAGCTGTGAGGCAGAATTCTATTTGCAAACGTTGAGTAATTCTTCGATGAGTGTCAAATATTACATACGGTGGAGTTAACGGAAATCCGTTAAACAGAACTGCTGTTTAAGTGGAACAACTGCCTCCAGGATGATTGGTTTCATTCCTGAATGCTGCAACCCAATTAATTTCTCAGGAAACGGAATTCTTGTTAAATGGAACAAATCTTCCCAGTCCCTTCAGGCTTTGTTTAATGAGAATCCACAGTTTTATGAACTGTAAAGAAAGATGACTATTCTTTGGGGTCAACCCTTCATGGTGGTGTACCGTATTTACTCGCGTAATCCTCGCACTCACATAATTCTCACACCCCCCACATCGCCCAACAAAAATACGATATCTTTTTTCCCTCGAGTAATTATCGCACCCCCAAAAACTGCTGCAATAATGTTGTCTGTTCTTTCCAGCCACTGATGATGATAGCGCACGCCATCTGGCGCCATCTCTTAATCATCAAGCATACTATTGCACAGAGATTCAATCCAATTTAAGCCAAGCTGAAGTGGCCAGTGTGCGTTGCGGCGTGTTTTGTATGTTGTGTCGGTAATCTTGTCACGTTATGAGGTGATACTGAAGCTGTACGGCTGCTTTTAAGTTGCAAGTGATAGATCATGCACTAAATAACGGCCACAGGGCCGCCGGTAGGCCCTTTGGAGTCTACGAGTTTTGTGTTTGCTACTGGTGACGGCAGCTTAAAGCCACCAAGGCGCGTTGGGCCTGGCGTGTGCCTAAAACTGGGATTGATGGTAAACTTTATTTCTTCAGAGGGAAACTGCGGCGATTCTGTTAAATAGCCGTCAGCCCAATACTGACATCCCACGCTTACCTTTTGAGGGCTCCTGTTGAGCGACGCTACCGCTACGCCCGCAACGTCCGCAAGCTTTCGCGTATGGTATTCTCATTCTCGACTATTTGTTTTCACTTTTTGTGTCTTTAATAAATCTTGTCTTGTGTTGTATCTCTGCTTTTATTGTTGAGGTAAGTTCTAATTAGTACTTCTTAAAGCTTGCTGTAAGTTGCTGGTGTGAGAATCCCGATTTGCGGCCACTTCGTTTTCTTTTTCGCTCTGTATGTTTTCGTGGAAAGTTTTCGCCGCATATTTCTCGCTCCCCCCTACTTTGCATCAGTTTTCTGGCAAAAAGTGCGAGGATTATGTGAGTAAATACGGTAATATTCCTGACCGGAAGGTTGCAGGATGGAATCCCTCCCACGGCAGTCACACTCGGTGGAGGCAATTCGGTAGTCTGTAAATTGTTTGTCGTGGCATACTTTACCAGTTCCCTCAAACATTACCCGCAAAATTGGTCTAGGGTTCCATTTCTCGACGGCTGATTTAAAGGTAGTGGGTAGCATCCAGGCTGTGTTGGCCACATATTGGTGAAGGCTAAGGCAGAGTCTCGTGTGCTTAGATTTAGGTGCTGATTAAATAGTCGAAATTTCTACAGCATTCCTCTATAGCATCTCTCATGATCATATGATGGTTTGGGAGGTTGCACAGCAACTTATATGTTTACATTATCCCTCTTAGTAGTCCATTGTAGACTGCAGCGGAATGCTATGCAAAAGAAATGATGATAGGCATTAAATAGGGAAAGCAACGAAATACACTAAAAGTTCACCAATTCAGACATAATGGTGCAACAAAAACTGCAGCAATATACTGATTCTTGGATTATCGAAATGACCAAGAAAACAATTAAGAAATGCATGTCTCATCAATGCACTTTCATTTTATTGAGGAATACATAAATCTAGTAATTATTTTGCATAACAGAAGTGTGAAAGTCGCAGTTTTGGTCATTTGTGAACGCTGCTCAAACCCTGTCTCAAGCCTGAAACGGGCTGTGAACCCATACCTTATGACGTATCAGCTGCATGATCGTGGATGATGACCACGTTTTTTTGAAAGTCCTCGGCCGTTTCAGCTATCCACGAATGTCGTTTTTGGAGTTTTGCATCACATATTTGCAATGATTCATGCTTGGCATGCTCCAAGGATTGTCGGAATTAATCAGGTTGGGCATATTATGGCCAAATTATTGAGATTTTGATACCACAGAACAACATATATGTTTGCCGGGACAAGAAAACAAGTTTGAATTTTAAAATTAACGAGCTTTGACTGTAGTTGTTCAGAGATGATAAAATTTGCTGGGTTTATGTTTCTGTGATTGTCAGGCTTAGAGGTAGAGAAAATTTTAATTTTGCCTGTGAGTTATGTATTTTCTTTCCTGAGCAGCCTTAATGTACTCGTATTCGCTTCTTGCATACAGTGAACTCATAAAAATTGTGATTGAGTGTTATGTTCTGCTGGCATGTTAGTATTCAGAATTACTACTAAATGAAGTACTGGCAATATTCAACTTGCTCATCGAGGTGGTACGAACTGAGGTCAAAGGTATTCTGAATAGCTTCAGAATACAGTGGGACATTGTGGTTGCATTGAGTCGGCAAATCCTCCAAGTGTGATCTTTTGCTGGGAAGTTTGTGCCTGGCATGTTTAAAGCAGTACTGACACGATTTTAAAAAAATTTTGTTGCGCAGAAAAACTTGGGCTTTGCTATGTTTTAATCATTGTCATTAACAAATTTTCGTTTCAACCTACATCTTTAAAAAAAAAAATTCGGCTGATGCCACATAACTTAGAAATGAATGTTACGCGAAGCATGCGTAGGGAAGATGTCTGTGTTGTAATTGTTTTGTTCACCGAAACCTTACCAAATGACGCTAAGTTTTGTTGGATAAATAATTCTCAGCCCAGTGAAAAGTCATCATTTTTTCGTGTGTTAACGAAAGAGTTCATATCCCAAAACCACTTCTTTGAGAACAAACATATATTTAAAAATTGTGATGTGTGATTGAAAGTGATTAGGTTTTTTGTAAATTTTGAGGGGAAATACATGCCTTAAGGTATGTGGCTTTCTACACGCTGTCAGCAGTTTTTATGTTATTGCTTGTCTTTTCGCACCTTATATGTTGCCCGCAAGCTAGTAATTTGTGTCGCAGTTTTATTCAGTTGAGATGTTTGAATGGAAAGTTTTGTGCTCTTGCTTCCTTTCTTCAGTTGCCCTATCTGGCGATTGCGTTCGGAAGTGTTCAGTTTTGCTGCAACAAAACAGCTGCTCCTTCATCTTGACAGTAATGAACACACCGTGCTCACATTAGCCCTTACTGTTGTGTCTTTCAGCAGCAGCAAAATCAATGTATTTTACACAGCGCTGCAGTATTTGACACCCACTTCGAACTTATTGTGTACAAGAGTATTTAGTAATGCCCATAAATTGTAGTAATTACTCAAACTCACTGCAAACTACCCTTCTTCAGAACTGTAATGTTGGTTGGAAATCAGTTGAGGAGGAAGGATCTTGTGAGTCTCGCATTAGTAAGCACTATATTTAGGTATCAGTCAGCGTATAAAGTCCTCATTTTTTCATCCTGACCTGTTATGCAGTCACGGACCATAAGTCTGGGGCCGTATCGATGCTGCCTGCCCCTGCTGGATTATCTACAGGCGATGCCCTTGGTAAGTTTGAAGAATTCTGTCATAATTCTAGAAGCTAGAATTGTTGTATCAATTATAAAGCAATGTCAGTGCAATTCTGCTGTCACTTTCTGCATCATCTCTCTGGTGTTAACCTTTGGGGTAGAAGTTTTTATGGACCCAGCTTCACAGTAGTGACATGCATGTAATTTTTGTGACAGTAGTCTTTGTTGTTATTGATCAGAAAAAATTTTACTATGAACTTTCTAATTGGCCATTCTATTGTCTTCCAGCCGTGGCCTCGGGTTCATCGACAGTCCCTGCATCCGGACAACCACCGGACTCGCAGCAGCCACCGGCGCCGGAGTGGTGGTACCGGGTTCCTCTCTTCTGGTTCCTCGTCTGGCTCGCTCCGCAATGCCACGGGCTCTGTCGAACTGGCTTTCCTGTCTCAGGACCCAAGCGTTCGTGCCGCAGAGCTTGCCCGCGCCGCGCAGCAGCGCAAGAGCAGCCATGCGCTTCGCGGCAACGTCGAAGACGCCGATGCCAACTGGTTGGTGCGGCGCGCTCACAGCGAACTTGAGACCAGCGCTGCCGAGAAGCAGCGTTCTTCTATTCCGCCGTCTCACCCGGTGTCGCTGGAGGCCATTCGCGTCGGCTCTTCGTCTTCGTCGTCAACGACGGTGCCCGCAAATGTCAGGCACGTCCGGAGGAGCGTCGAGTTCTCACGCCCTCCGCTGATGAACGACGGCGCCATTAAGACGATCGCAGAGCAGCCGGCTGCAGAGACTCCGGCTAGCGCGGCATCAAGCGGGTCGAGCAGCATGAAATCATTAGTAAGGCATCGCTCTCTCGATGCGGCCACGTTGAGGCGGAGGAGTGGGCGCAGTGGTGGCAGTGAAAAGAAAGATGATGATAGGACTAGTGTTGTGGCATCGGGCGGTGCAGAGGGTCACACATCAACAGGCAGGTGTTTCCCATCAACTGATAGCGTGTCGTCCGCATCTGGTGAATCCGATCGCAGCAGCAGCCATTTCACAGTTATATACAAGCCACTGGATCCGTGCAGTGGAAATCCACAGGTGAGGTGACCCTTACCTTCTTCTAGGGTGATGAATGTTGTGTGGAGCGTCTTCGACACTGTCTTGTATGCAGTTGTGTATGCACTCTATCTTTGCCAAAGTGATAATGATGGATTGGTAGTGGCAAGTGGTAATGAATAAAGATCACATACCTTGAGCGTTTAGTTAACTAAACCATTGAGTTTTATAATAATGCACTGGAGGGATGTTAGTATTAGTGTCTGAAACAAAAGGCGAAACAATAAGCAACAGCACAAGTTCGTTGCACGCTGCAAGCATGAAGACTAGCCAGATCCATGTTCTGCCAGCCTTTTCCAGAGTTACTGAACAATCACAGTGCCAGAGTTCCCTCTTGGCAATGATGAGAAACTCCATGATTGAGCACTTTGCTTTTTTTTTTTTTCAACCGTGCAGCTTACTTTTTTGCGTTATTGCAAGCACATGCACAGGCGCGTGGTGGCATGCTACGGCGGCTACAGCAGCTGTACAGCTTACGAGGCTCAAACGGCTGTAGTTCACGGACATTTGGGCTTGTAGCATCATTTGTCGAGGGAAGATGAAGTGATTCTAAACCGGCTTTGAGAATTGTAAATTCTAGATGGGTTGCTGTGCTGTTATGCTTGTCTCGTGTGTTCTCGGGAGCCTCAACTACCGATTAACAGTTTTTCCTGACCATGCTGAAAAAGTAAGGTGGGACCCCTTTCATAAAATGTAGACGTGAGTCTTTACTAATTGCGGCTTGTTAGAAAATGCATGCGCCAGTGTTTGAGGACATCTTTTTTTTTAATATGGTGCCAAATGCTTTGGCAGTAGGGGCAAATACGATAGTGTCGAACATGGAAAAAAATGAAAAAATCGGACAGCGTAGCAAATGCGGGAGGACAATTGTGAATACACGCTAGAAGTGATTTGAGTGTAGTTGCATTGACTAGGCTTGTCTTAACCTTTCCCGGACATGCATAATTTCCCATTCTGCAAATTAAAAATTAGTTTGGAGTGAATACTCTTTTTTTCTACCCTGTCTCATTTTTTCCAATGTTCGCACGCTGTGATATTGGCCATCACGAACCCAGACCAACCAGCCATAGTTTCTACCATTTGTCAGTAAGTTTCTCTAAATATTGTGCGCGTATTGACAACTCATATTTTTTTTTGAAATATATGAAATGCGTGCTAGGCTATTTGCACTTACATGCAGTTGGACCTGATGACTACAATTGGAACCATTCATTCAAGCTTACATCATGTCTGTTTATGGATTCTGTTCTTATTGGCTGCGGGCAATGTCAAGATGCAGATTCAGTGCAATCCCAGCACACTTACAGTGCAATACCTGTTCAATTCCATTGCAATCCCAGTGCAGTTCCAGTGTGATTCTAGTGCATTTCCAGTTCTATCCCTAAGCAATTCTATCACAATCCCAGGAGTGCCTAAGTGCACCAAAGCAAAGTCTTTGTTCTTCTGCACTGCACTTATATGTAAATGCATGTACTGATCCACACTCACAGGAACTTGACCTGCCCGAACAGTATCCAGGATGGCTCGAAGGGAATCCCAGGAATCCAGAGCCGCTCCCGTCTCCAGCCTGTTCAGAGCGTAGCAGCGTTGCCGGATTGGATTGGCTGTTTTCCGGAGCTACTAGCCAACCAGTGAATGAGGCGAAGGCGTTGGTACCTTTGGGTAAAAGTAGCCTTTTTTTTTATTACGATAGCAATTATACGGACTCTCTCGGCTGCTTTTCGTCACTGACGTTGGCCTTGACGTCGGCGTCGCTGTCACTCACCTTATATGTATACGTATCTGTATATATAAAAATCCAAGGAAAAAAAAAACATAAAAAGACTCCGGCGCGTAGATTCGAACTTGGGTTCTCTGAATCGCGAGTGCGAAGTGTTAGCCACCGAGGAGCACGTCGTTCAACATTCAAACAAGCTATTTATATCTACTACTTACCGCTGCTGACGGGCATCTCGGGAGGGAATTATTGTGTTTTCAGCATTACCAGCAAGATGGCGCAATGAGTGTGCATCACCACATCACGCGGTGTGTGCACTAATCTCTGACGTGTAGTTTGCCCCGCTTAGAGGAGGGGAGCGACGCTCCCTCGTGCACCTTTATCAAGTGGTGGAGAGGAGGGGAGGATCGTACATCTTAGCTGGCCTCGAGCTTTACCTTGACTGATTGTGTTATAGTTACAAGGTGCACAAAGGTCACTGCAATCATTCCAGTCTCCGTTTGCAAAAATCGCGCACTTTTCAGACGTAGCAAAGTAACAACTGAGACGCTTATTCACATACATCTGCACCTGTGAGTACGTTTTGTGTATCATTAGTGTGTGAGAAACGCGGGGCATGTTTCAATCTGCTTTCCATTCTGCGCATGACCTTCCAATTTGTTGCTACCGTGTTCATTGCTTCGTCTTTGCGACAAAAGTGTGACTTTTTTTTACTCTTTGTGCTGTATTGGGGCTATTTCTAACTCCAAGCTCTGGGCACACGTACGTGAGACCTTATGTGGAACGTTCTTAACATGCAGCGTTCATGCTTTTGTAATAACTAGCTGCTTCTTGTCGAGATTTTGAAACACCACTTGCCCATGCTGATCACCACTTTTTAGTAGGCTTGTGCGAATATTTGAATGCTTCGAATATTCAAACGAATAGTTGAGTATTTGAATTCGCTTCGGTTTGAATTCAAATTATCGAATATTTTCGAAGTATTCGCAATGTACAAATAGATCTATATTAGTCTGCATGTCATTGCCTGTAAAGGAGGTTTTGCTGCAGTGTAGCAGTGCTAAATCGTGAAAGCGCCTATCAAGGGGAAATTCACTTAGCCGCGAAACCCTGTTTCAAATTTAAAGGGACCCTGCAACACTTACTGAACATGGTCAGAAAACGCTGCCGATCGGTAGTCGAGGCTACTGAGAACACGCGAGGCAAATATTACAGCGCCACACGTGGCTTGCAATTCACAATAAATTTTCAAAGCTAAAAATTGCCTTTTTTTTTTTTTCAACAAATGACGCTACAAGCTCCAAAATCACTTGCCACAGCCAAGAAGGAATATACGGCTCTGGTCACAGTAACTGGCTGGTTTGAGCATGGCGCGCTCATCGTTACCGGGGCCGCCTCTTGTCCACAAGTACGTGCATGATCGTACTGAAAATCCGCGTATTCAAAGAAAAAAAAAAAGGTGCTCAAGGTCAAGAAGAGCATGTGACATATTTTCTTTCACCATGCCATTCTTCCCTGCTTTACTTCCAGCAATTTTGTCGGGACATGAAGAGAGAATGCAATTGCAGCGTGCGACAAATTTTGGGAACTCCGCTTGTACTGGACTGATTCTAGAAACTTTGTGGCGGTAAATTTGTGAGGCAACAAGTATGTTTACTGGCTCCATGGCTACTTGAAAAAGTGTTGCAGGGCCCCTTCAAAGGAACATGTTACCCTCAAATCAATTCTTCGTTTTATTGAGCTTGTTATGAAGGCCTATATGCTCCAAGTATAATAAATTTTGAAACGTTTAGTATCTTACAGGCTATCACTCGCATCTTACCGAAACTACTACTCAAGGTTGTTCCTACTTTTTTTGAACGAAAAAAGAAATGGCATTTGCATAGAGCCCCTATTTCAATTCAAAAGCAATATTGTGCAGGTTAGTTAGGTCATGATAAGTATTCCTTTTTTTTATGTCATACATACTGTTCGAGTTCGATTCGAAATTATTCGATGAAAATCACCCATGCGCTTCGAATTCGCTTAAAACCTTAAATTCACTATTCGCACAAGCCAATTTTTTAGCATTAGAGCAGTCTCCGGGGTTTTTCATGTAAAAAATGTCTAAAATTTGTTGAAGTTTCTTTATCTTTGAATTAATTTTAACAATGCACTAATCGTATAGTTTACCAGCTGTTTCCATTGCAATCTTCGAGCTAGGCATCTGCAGAACTCGTGATATGCAGGAGTCGTCAACTTTCGACTCCAAATAACACATTTACTACCGATAAACTGTGTAAGTGCCTAAAGTCAGCAGTTGACAGTGGTTTGAGCTTACAACGATGACTCCTTGCTATAGTTCAAAGTGCTATGAATTAGCTGGGCCCATTCTTTGGCATTTATAGCAGACTGACAGACAAGTACAGCTTCGACTGCAGGCATTGCTGAAGGTTAAAATAAACAAAATACATTTACGCTGTGCAAACACAAAGGTAAAAAGGGTGAAACGGTCTGAAAAGAACTTTCCTTCCAATCTGCTCACAGAGCTCTGCAAGGAGCAGGCAGAGCCGAAGCCGTCTTCCCCACAGCGATCAACCGAAGGGGTTGAGACCACGGGCGACGCGGACTCCAGTCTCTCATGGCAGTGCGACGGAGCTGTCATGCGGGCCCGCAGCAGATCGTCAGAGCAGAGCCTCTCTGACGGCAGCTCCCCATCGTCTCCGGACGAGATGACCCCCCTCGGTGCCTCGGGACGCCTTTCAACCGCTCTCGGTGCCATCCCCAAACAGTACATGGATGACGCCAGGGGTAAGTGTGGTACCTCATGTACAGTGTCTGTGGAATCGGAACATGCCAGACTAGGGCTAAGTAACATACGGCCTTATGGTTACATTGGAGTGGTGTAAATTGAAATAAATCGCAAGGGGAGACACATCTTCCCATGGTGGCCATTTTGTTTATGATGTGAGCTCCAGCTCGAGACATAGCAATTTTTGAGAAAAAGGTCAAGCAATCCTGAGAGACGACCCACAGTTCCCGGCGAAGAGCAGGGAGCAATCGAACGCACTGCTTGTATTCAGGCTACTTCCTAGCGATCAAAAGCTTTTTCACCTTTTTTGTCTGTCTCATCTGCTGACAATTTAACTGTTTGTTATATTTTACTTATGTTTGAATTGAAATCATGCATTGAAGCTAAATTAAAAAAAAACTGTACATGGGCTTTCAACTTGTGCAATTACGTTATCCTTTCAAGCCATTCAGATCTATGATGTTTGAAAAATAAATGTCAAAAATGGTGGTCACTTGAAAGGGGTGTTACACTCAGCTTGAGTTACGGGGTGTTCAAGACTCCCCTGACCCTCAACCCCATGATTTATGCCACTGTAACATTGTGTTCAATTTGTGTCTCAACAGCATTGCGTTGGCTCGTACACCTGCATTGGAGCCATCATCACCTTTACTGGCGAAATTTGTAGTGGCATCTTTTTATGCACTTTCTTTTCTACACGTTTACGTTAAATTAAATTACTTCTAATAGCATATAGCATCCCCTAAACTTTCGCTGGCATCATTGTCTGTTAGTTCTCATTGTTTGATAATGAAAACGAGCCTTTAAATGTATGCAGTGTTGTCAAAGGTCACAAAAAGGATCGTTTGTGTTGTTGCTCTTGAGTTGCAGCTTTTTTGCTGTCATGTTGAGGCGTTGTACTTCTCGTTGAACTGCTACAGGGGACCAGGCAAATCCGCCACTTGCGGGAGCGTTCACACGGACGACAGTGCGGTCACTTCTGAGCCGTCGCCTGCTCGACATTCTCAACCTCAACGACCCGCAAGAGTGTGAGGCAGAGCTGCAAAAGTTGAAGAGAGAGTTGGACATTTGCCGTTAGTAGAAACTCTTAACATTTCTTGTCTAGTCACTGTAACATGCTGGGATATATTCAGATGAACGTAGAGCAATGCCGAGGATGTGCTAACGTCTTTCATACAGTTCTATAAGGTTACAGTTGTTAGCTGACACTTCCTCTTTTTAGTTCACTTGTCATGGCAGCTTAGTGGCTGAGGTGTAGCCCTGCTAAGCCCTAAGATGTGTGTTTGATTCCCCAACATGATCACTGCATCCGCGTTATGCACGCGAACGGTTAAAACGTAGTTGTGATGAATCCCCAATCGAGTTTCATGGAGACTAATGCACTCGTGAACTGCTTGAGCCGTTAGTGGTGGTCTCGTGCCTATCGGTTAGTGCGAACTGATTGCGTAAAGCGAGAAAATTTTGTGCCAGAAACCTTTACTGTGTCGTAGAACTTGCAGATGCCACAATGTGCCGCAAGCGTTTTTCCATAATGTTGATAAGTGTGGAGATCAGCCGATAAGTTATTCCGACTTCTGTGCGATTGCGACGATAACATTGATGTAATCATAGGGAAGAAAAATGAAAGCAAGGTGGGGACCAGCTGACAAACACGCTGGTATGGCTTATCGCTGATGGAAAGCCTTATCACAGTAAGCATCCCCCCGCTAGCTGCTAGGGCATGCGCGTTTGGCGTAGCACCACCTTAAGCGTACTGCATGCATTCAGTAGACTACCTGAATGCACTGTGCTGCCGATTGCTCCCGCTTCGTTTTGTAGAACCGCGTTCAAGTGTGCATAACTTTACAGAAACACAAGCAGCCCGCTGTCGCCGAGTTTAGCCTTGCGGGCCGCGAACACCGAAAAACCTTGTTTGTCTTATACTAACACGCACACCATAGAGCAAGCGTAGTGCTGCTGTAACCATACTGCACGCGTTTATTCAGGGACAGCCTAAACACGCGTCCATTCGCTGCAAGGACTGCTAGAGCATTGATAAAACTGCAGCGCTTGCAGAAAGCCCGTCGTGGCCATATTAACCCAACAAGCTATTCGCCGCATCTGTGCATGGCCTGAAGCAAAGTGGGCGCTCTGCAGCAAGCGGATCGGCTGTCACGTTATGCACCGAGTAGGCGAAGTGCTGCACGCAACTACCCACTGTAGTAAACGATATGGCTCTCTGCGACCATACTACTGCGTTAAAAAAAAAAGCTGCACCCGTTTTTGCTTACAAATCGACCGCGGAACCCGTGTATCACGGACAGCCGATTATGTCCATTCTGTAGTTGCCCCACGCTGCGTGTCCCGGAACCCGAACTAGTTTCGAAAATGTTTTATGACGTCGCCACCACGTGCTATTGGACATTTGTATGAGAGTGGCAGATTCTTTTCTGTGCTTTGGCAAAAAGAAAGAAATGGCTTCTTGGTGGGCACTTTAGGCAGTATTTCCCATGGCACTGAACTTACTCCTTTGTTGGTGGCGATTGCACATATCAGAAGATGCAAATTTGCAGCTGGTGGTTCGTGCGTAGTACGCTTAGTGCGTAGCACGCTTAGTGCGTAGTTATGCCTTCGTTCCCGGCCGGCACATATTAACAGGGTTGCACTGTACATAGGTGCATGTTGAAGTACAGTTGGTCAAAATGAATGTGGAGTTTGCCATATCTGTGTGCTTCATCGGCTTGTTGTGGCTTTGGGATGTATCATCTCGTAATTTAAAAAGGTGCCAACACAAACACTTTCAGCTGTTGTTTTCTTGCATCAAGTAAGGCCTAGCCTATGAGAGCTTGGTAAGCGTGAGTGGGCTCTGAAAAAGTAATTATGGCATGTTTCCTAAAAGCTCATGTACCCTAACGTCATGACAGCACATAAGCTTCTTCTTGTGTGCTCGTGTAAGATATTGAGACATTTCCATGGCCCCCACGCCATGCACAAGCGGCCATTTTGGATTTTTCGGTGGCACACAGACAGCCATATTGAATGTGTTGCTTCTCGACGTTACAAAATCTAGCCATACTGGAGCATAAAGTCACCAGAATAAACACCCTAGCCTAATGTCACAATATTGTTAGTTCAGTAAGTGTGCCATGGGAAAACGGACATTAATGTCACAATGAAATATCGGCATTTATGGAGCTTGACTTTGCTCAAAGCTGTCCCTGTGTACTGGAGATTTATGTGACAAAGTAAACTTATTATGAAGAATTAGTGTCACTACTCCTTCAATGTTTAAAAGGACACTAAAGCCAATATAGGTAAAGCACATCACTTTATGTGATGCGTTCTTAGAACCTATGTTGTTGTAATTCACACCACTCTCTGCCATAGTCTGGTGCATGGATCTAGTCAAGCCTTCTCAGGTTTTTGTACATGCACCAAACATCTCTAAGATGCCGAATGAATTGAATGGAATTGAAAATCGAATTGAGTAACAATTTATGTCAAAGCTGAATGTATGACGTCTAAAATGACAATATTATTGAGAGCAGTGCCCCACTTACTACGAAATTGAGGTAAATGCAAGAGAACACATGCGCCAAGAGTAGGATATTTGCAAAATGATCCCGATGACGTCAGAGTTACCGCCTACGATTAATCACTAGTAATTGAACTAGCTGCACCAAATAAAGAACCTTTCGTACATCAAGAGACATAATAAAATGCTGCTTGTCGTTTCTGTTTTATTCATGGAAAAAAGTACTGCCGGACGTTACTATGGGCGGAATGGCATGAGTGGTTCAAAAGCTCAATTTTTGCCCAGTTAAACTGGGCAAGTTGTGCCATAGTGGGGCCCAGTTGAACCAATCATGTCTGGCATCTCGGAGGGTCATGGCAGGAAATTGTTCAATGGCTGTTGTTGCTGCTGTGGCTCCCACTATTTTCGCTCTGCTGCTACTAGTGTCGGCGGCCGTGCAGTAAAGCGGGGCAACATTGCGCGAGGCAAAAAGAACTCATTTCCTCTGAAAGTTTCCACTTTTAGGCGGTTGATTTGAAGTGTGCTAATGAGATGCAGACCACTAAAACGTGATTTCATTTCAGAATAAGCATTTCCTTGGCACATGAGTAGCACTATGAGGTTTATGAACTGCAATTTCAGCAATTAATGATTTAATATCTGCTTTAGTGTCCATTTAATTTGACGCTTTTACAGCACTTTGTGTGCCTCTTTCTCAATTAATAGCTGTTTCAATCTTGTGCATGTGTTTGCATTGTTGTCATGTGTCATGAATGCTATTGCCCTCTTCCTTCCAGGACGGCTTGCCTCTAATGCCGAGGACACACCACCGAGTTTCTCGCCGCAGACTTCCAAAGGTCAGACTTCACTGTTTCGCTAGAACTTTTGACAGTGTTTATCAGAAATAAGAACGTTGGTCCGAGTGTATTGTAAGTTTCATAATGTAGCACCTGCACTTGGTGTCAGGAGGCTAGGCGGCATAGGTCGGCACTCTAAGGGACTGATAGATATGTGGGGTTTCACGTTCCAAAACCACCATATGATTATGAGAGACGCCGTAGTAGAGGGCTCCGGAAATTTCGACCACCTGGAATTCTTTAACATGCACCCAAATCTGAGCACACGGGCCTACAGCGTTTCCGCCTCCATCACAGCGGAGCACTCTAAGGGACTTCTCACTCAAACTCACTCACCCCAATTTTTCAGCCTTCGCCTTAACTCACGTTCATACTCAACCCTACTCACCCTTTAATTGCTCACTCACATTCACAATCACGTCCACTGACACTCAAGAGTACTCACTCCCGTTCATACGACTATTCACACTCATAGTCTCTCACATTTACACTCACGTACACTCACATCGATGAGTACGCACTCGCGTCCACACTCCTGACTACTTCCACTCACAAGCTCGCACTGACGTTCATACTCACACCTACTCACGCTCATAATCACTCACGTTCATACTCAGGCCTGCTCACACTTATATACTCTCACTCATCCACGTTCATACTCGTGCCTACTCGCACTCGTAGGCACTCACATTCATACACACACCGACTTACCGTCATAGGCACTCACTCATGTTTTTACTCATGTATACTCCCACTCATAGGAACTACATGTTCCTACAAGTGGGAGTGTTCCTCCATGTTCATACTCACGTATACTCATATGTTGGAACTCACTCAGGTTCATACTCACGTATACTCACCCTTATGGGCGCTCACTTCCTTATTCACACCTCACACTCATAAGCACTCACGTTCATACTCACAGTCATAGGCAGTTACTTATGTTGATACTCAAATATACTCATACTCATAGGCATTCACTAACATTCACTAACACTCATGAATGCTCACTCAAGTTCACGCTCACGGCTACTCGCACTCATAAGCGCTCACTCACGTTCATACTGAGGCCTACTTATGTTCTTTGGGACTCACGTTCATACTCTTATCTACTTACGCTCATAGGCACTCACTCATGTTTGTACTCACACCTACTCACACCCATGGGCACTCACGCTCACACTCATACTTACTCACACTTACAAGAACTCATTTTCGTGCTCACACCTCACACTCATAAGCACTTGTGTTCATACTTTCACCTGTTCGCAGTCATAGGCACTTCATGTTCATACTCATGTGTACTCGTACTCATAGGCACTCATGCTCATTCTCATGCTACTCACATAGGTGCCCTCTCATGTTTGTACTCACACCATAAGCCAATTACTACTCACTCGCGTTCATACGTGTACTCACACTCGTAGGCACTCACTCACGTCATGTTCAAGAGTGTCATCCTGTATCCTTCATGCCTATGTGTTTTGAAGAAGAATGGCGATTTGGGCTAGTTGGTTTGAATTCATGATAATAAGGGTTGCAGCGCGAGCACGAATGTGCTAGAAGAAACAGATGAAAGTCGAGGTACAGAAGGCAAAGAGGACAACACGAGCGCTGTACTATGTGTTTTTTTTTTCATGCTTTTTTCAAACGTGACTCACGTTCACACATGTTTCATACGTCAAAGCGATTTGTATTCACTCATCGTGCTGAAACCTACTCAAACTCATAGGCATTCACTCGTTGTCATACTCACTCTCATTCACACCCACTGATGCTCACTCAAGTTCATAACACTTAGACTCATAAACGCCCACAGAAGTTCATACTCGCACCTCACACCCATTGCTACTCACCAGAAGTGATGTTGATGAAGTAACTTTATTGAACATCCGGCGAGTGGAAGGCCCGGGCCTGGGGCTACCTAGATGGCCGCTAGGTAGCTAAGGGGGTTAAGATGGCCGCTAGGTAGCTAAAAGGTGTACAAACTAGCACTAGGGATTCCCATCAGTACGCGCACAGACCTTTTTCTAAAGCTAAGACTCCACAACACACTGGAAGAACTCATAGAAGCACAACAAATGTCTCAGGTGGAACGACTAACAAAAACCTTTACTGGACAGAATATACTACGCAAGCTAAGGATGAATTACCACAATCAAAATGGAGAAAAGAGGACGATCACGAGAGAAATTCATGAGAAACTTCTGGTACCCAAAAACATGCGTCGATGTTACAACAAGGGTAGACGCACGAGTAGAACAGAAAAAGCTATCCAAGGCTACGGGTCAGACGACAGAGCCGTCTTCGTAGACACGGCAGAATACCCAAACAGAAATATCTATGCTGCAGTAGTCGTAGATCTCAACCAAAAGCTCGTTACTAGCGTGTCATTCAATACCAAATTTTCCGAGACAGCAGAAGAAGTAGCCATTGCACTAGCACTGGTCTCCACGAATGGCTCAATACATTATTAGTGATTCACAGGCGGCCATTCGAAATTATGCTAATGGCCAGATCTTTCCGGAGGCGTGGCACATCATGAGTGTAAACGAAGCAATATTTTCCACTGTAGAAAAGACTGACAGACAACCGCTTGGTTCCCAGTGCATACAGCTCCATACCCAACCCCAATGAGGTAGCACAATGCAAAGCTAAAGGTCTTACTCACCAAGCTCATCAAGGAGTGACTTCTACGGGTCAGGGGAATGTGGAGCAGGAGATATGGAGAGGAAAAGATAGATTAACAACATTCATTAATATAACCAAATACTACCAAATGCAGAGGCGAATTTATACACCACCTCACTCTAAACTCCACAGAGCTGAGTCCGTTGCTTGGAGGCGCTTACAGACAGATAGCTACCCGAATCCCGTGCAATTAAAGACTTTCTGCCCTGCCATATACGAGTGTGACACATGCAAGCTATGGAAGCCTGCTAGAGCCACGCTTCAACATATGTTGGGGGGATGTCCAATATACCAAGACTAAATGGTGGTCTCTTCAGAAGATCTGCTGGCGCAATGGTCAGCCGTGCTGCAAAGCTCCGAACTCACAGACCAACTTTGGGCCATCCAGCGAGCCCTGGAGGCAGCGTTCCTGGTGTTTCACACGCTTTCAATGCCAGCTGTTCATTGCCACTTTTTTTTGTATTACTTGTGGAACCACTAGTAAACTACGAGAAACATTATTTGCCAGACGATCTAGATGGAACCATACGCTTGTTTGGATTTATTCATGACTTATACAAGAATTCCAGCGACTAATTTATGATGTTCTCAATGGCTAGCGTGGATTAAATTTGGTGCAACCAGCATGTACTTCCATCTACTTGCATGCAACAGTATCTAGCAAATACAGTGGACTTGCCGACCAGGGGTCGGCAAACTCACTCATTAGTCGACTCTCGCTTGGACTCAGACTCGCATTGAGCAGTGAGTCTGAAAGAGCCTGGGGGAGTACTGTATTGGTGAGTTTGAGTCCGAGTCAGTCCGATGGAAGAAAGTTTTCGTGTGAGTCCGAGTGACTCGGGATTCACACTTGCAAAAATTATCTTCAATCGGCCTCACTCGGACTCAAACTCCGGATGACTTGGACTCGGGAAAATGGTAGTGAGCTTGAGTACGAGTGAGTCCATAGTACAAGATACATTTCTTAAGTGAGTCCCGACTTTTTTCGCCGACCTGTGTTTCTGAAAGTGCGTCGCTTGCTTCTTTGCAGCTCCAGCAGCAAATCGGAAACGTCCAAAGCTGGCGGCGACTCGCCGGAAAGCCAGTTATGGCACCTCCGAGTTTCTGTCTCTTCTGCCTAGCACCCCTGCTTTGCCTCAGGCCGATGGGTGAGTTCATTTTTTCTTATGTGACTCGTGATTTTGTTTTCTCTGTCGCAAATTCAACACTTTCGCGTGGTCGCCAAGACACCCGAAGCAGTAGTTATAATAACCTTGTCGGGCTGTAACGCAAAGTTTGTACACAGGCAAAGCGCCATATGGGAGCACTTTACTGCGAGAAGCTTTTAGGGAGCTTAATTAAGAAATGGCCCATGTCAAACGGAATCCTTAATACAAATATAGTGCGAGGAACTGAAAATTTTGCATGTGAAGTGAATTCAAATAATTGTTCGTTTGCGAATCAAATAGAATAATTTTTTTATATTTCTCGAATACTTCTTGAATACATTGATGTGAAATAAGAGAAAACGAAGTTGCTGAGTATTCCTAAGCATATTTAATTGAATTCTAAGAAATTGTTGCTCGGCAATGGTGCAACTAGATGCTGCCGTAATTTTAGGCTCATGGGAAAGAGCATTTTTGCTTCTTATTTCCCACTTTAGCTAGGTCATCATTCGGAAACAAGTGTACAAGAGGCAAATGTTTAACATTATTTGAGGCCTCTGATTGGCTCCCATCGCAGGCACGCATACCATGACTGAGTTTACTGCTCAGAGTCCTCCGCTCACAATGCTGATGTGCAAGATGAAGCCGCACTTTGCAAGCAACAAGGACATCACGCTGGCAGACATCTGGAAGTGAAAGAGCCACAATGGACTTGCAAGCATTAAATATGCATTGCCCGTTTAGACATTGACAGAGGACGCCCCGGTTTGTCATGCAGCAACCGCGCCGGTGACCCAGTAAAGCAACTAGCATTATTATTTGTCAGTACCCCAAAGAGCAAGATCAATGATACTGCATGCCAATTTTATATCATAAACCATTATATTTGTGTTCTCCAAGCTCAAATAGTGAAATTCTAGTGCAAACAGATCTAATAGCCAACAATATTAGGAAAATATTGTGAAGTTTGAATAGACATACACCCTAATTTTTTTCTCGTCTTGCACCATAATGTACTTATTTCCAGATTTGATTGGCGATTCCCGTGAAGTGTTCTGCCCCATGCTGTCACAGGTCCCGTTAATTGGGAAGGCAATCACCGGGCTAATTCCAAGGGCTGAAGAATCAGCCCCCCAAACTGCACCATGAAAGCAGGGACAATTTAGAAGTGGTCCTATTCGGCGCGCCAGTGGACGCCAGCTGTGGTCAAAAGAACGAGTCAGGGCCGAGAGTTGATAAACGAAACGGAAATATATTCTCAAATATGGCAGATCAAACGATACACAAATATGCACTCTCAACAATAGTTGAATACGATATGTCACCAATCACACAATGTACTACACAGAACAATCAGCTACACTCGAAACAACGGACACAAACAACAATACGCGCTACAATGGCGGTAGAAACACTCTTCTGCTTGTAGCACGAGTCTTCACCCCTCAGGTGGAAAGCCTCTTCATTACCTGCTCTGTCGTTTTCGCTGACAAGGGGGAACACCCTACGCACCCTGGCGCAAACTTTCTTCTTCTCCTGTTTTCTCTTCTTCACTGCTCGCTTGAATACCTTTCGCGCTAGATTCCAGAAAATTCTCATTGTTTCGTCGACGAGATGCACAGCTAAGGCTGGTGAAAGAGTGAGACGTTTAGAGGGCCGTCCGCGACACATGACGCAACTCTGCATCACCACGCCCCTTTCCTTCGAGAACCTTCCAGGACTTGCTCGGCCGCCGATGTGAGGAGGTTGGTCGGCGAAACTACGCTTCGATGGGGGGAGAGACGGCACGCCCGGGGAGTCTTTGGAATGCTTGTTTTCTTCTTTATCGTTGACCTTGAGGCGCCTCTCTGGCGCTTGGTCGCCAGAATTTGGCGGCGCGCCCTTTTTTTGAGGGCTCGTTTGTGACACATGCGAATGCCCATTTTTATTTATTACGACTGCTGGCTGTGTGTGCACCGGAGGCTACATGCATTGGATGCTGGAATACCATGGCCTTGGTGTCATCTGTACTGGTGGGAAGAATAGCTCTTTTGAATAGCTCTTCAGAGTAGCTCTTCTGAGTAGCTTCTTTAAGTAGCTTGTCCGAGTATCTATTTCGTATTTGGTTGGTCATTCTCGGACAATGGTCTGTGTCATACAAATAGCCTAATTGTGCGCTGGAGGCAACGCGCATTTGATGAAGGAATACCATGCTTGTGATGTAATCTGCACTAGTGGGAAGAGTAGCTCTTTCGAGTAGCTTCTCGGAGTAGTTCCTCTAAGTAGCCTGTGGGAGCAGCTGCTTGGAGTGGCTCTTCTGAATGATGTTCGGGCTTTTTGCCTGTCAAAGCTTGCATCTGTTTTCGCCGAGCTTGTAGGAGTGTTGCCTTGCAGAGATGATTCTCGAAGAGGTAGGATGGTCTGTTAGCATGCTTTAAAGAAATATGGCAAGCGATGAAGGGGCACCTAGAAAATAATTTTGTTCTCTCGAAAAGTTGATTACCCACGCTATGTGTGGTGCATGAAATATACAAAACAGGCATCTTATGAACGGCTCAGCTAACGAGCTATAATGTAAGAGATGGAACAATGAATCTGCCTGTGTTGATGAGTTGTACTTTGAGAACACCAACGTCATTCATTCCACCATCATAGCCTTATAATTGGAGGAGAAAATCAAGGTCAAGGATTGATTTCTACGCTTTGCATTGAAACCTCTACGTCTGATGTTGCAGATTTTAGATACTATTTTTCATATTTTGGCGACATTGGCACAATGATATTTCTTGAAACTTGGGTGTTCTGAGTTCATGTTGCTCCCAGAAATCAATGCGCTTCAATTTTACTGATTAGGAACTGCGTAAGAATCTGCGTAGGAGCTAGTAGGTGCCGTGCAAATTTATGACGTCAAAGTATTTCCACGGAAATTTCCAGGCTGCCAATCATTTTGTTTAGGTGCGTTTTCTCCATTAGTGGTTGCTTTTACACGGCAAGCATCGGAATTTGGGAGTTGTTAAAGACTTCTTTATTACCTAAAATCTCGAGCAAGTGTCGCCCTTCTCCATTCATGGTGAAGTGTAATCTAACAGGATATGGAGAGGGTGCTTTTGTTTGTTTGCAGAAGAAAAATTCAAGATCGCAAGATGACAGCAGAAGGGCTGCCAACAATGAAGAATGTTAGCCCATGCTTCAAATGAAGTGCTTTATTAAATGAGCCCGCTTTTAGGGCTTTAGTTTGCCCTCAACCACCTCAACGGGCAAAAAACAGTGAATGAAACAGTGAAGATAGTGGGAGGGTAGAAGGGGATCCATGTTTCGAATCTCCCAAAGGGCGAAGAGGGGGCGCTCGCTTATGTAAGGGTACTTGCTTGACGTTTACAGTAATATGTAATTTTTTTTTTCGGAGCAAAGCTCTGTAGGTTCTTATGATGTCCGTTGACGTCAAAGCTTCTCGTCAGACCGAAACACAGGTGCTACATATACACCGTACGTAGAGCGTTCATAGCGTGCATGCGGTTTGAAAATAGGCAGTACTCTGTCCATCCATCTGTCTGTTCGTTCGTGCATCTGTCCGTCCGTCTGTTGGTCCGTGCATCCATCTGTCTGTGCAGCTGTCTGTCAGTCCATCTGGCTGTCCTTAATACTAATCGGCAACTTCAACGTAGACATTGTGGGCCTTAGGACTTCGCTTTGCTCCATAATCGGCATTCACTTCGTGGATAGGATGCTGATTTTCTTTTAGTGTCTCTTAAAAAGAGGGCTAGTAGCAAGGGTATCTATTTTGCCCTCATTGTTCTCCAATCGCCTCATGCAGGGAGAAGGATGAAGAGTCAGCAACGGCGGTAGACGGCTGGACTTCATCGGGCCGAAAAAACTGCACCGACAGGGGACCACCGGCCTATCTTCTGGCCAGCATCCTGTCGACGCCCGGTACCCACTTGGCCATTTCGCATGACGACACTTCGCCCGGCGCAGTGCACTGCTTCCAAGACGAGCATGGTGAGGGATGTTGGGGACTCTAATGTGGCAGTCTGTTTGAATGTCCGTGCACAGACCTTTCTCTGTACAGAAAGTTCTATGGCTGTAAATGCAAAGAACTTATTTCATGCTGTTACTAGCATATTTTTTCCCCATGTCACGTTCCAATTAGACCACAACAAATCTTATATTTCGTTCGCAGACATTTTCTTATCCAATGGTTGTATATGGATTTGTTCTTATCCTATGGTTGAGTTTCGAGTGCCAGGAATCGCTGAAGCCTGCTGCAGCTTTTTTTCTTTCTTTACCGTTCTCTTTCTTTGCAAAAGTGTCCTTGCCTTTATCATCGCGGAAATCAGATTGTGTCGAAAAAGAGAAAAAGTCGCAGTTACCGCAAGGGAAAAGCAGTGAATGTGATAGCAACAAATCAGAATGTTATGTGAAGTGAGGCTAGCAGATAGCAAATATTGTATTTACTCGAATGTAATGCAAGTTTTTTTTTTCCAAATTTTCGATACCTAAAGCTGACCCTCATGTTAATATTGAATACTGAAATTTAAATTGTCTAGAAAGTGCTGTAAAGAACACAATTCTTTTATTTTTGTTTAATTTTTTCTGGAAAGTCATGCCTCGCATTACAATCTTGACTGCACCACAAAGAAGTAAATATGGCAACTCATTTTACGTCAAACCAAGTGCAATGTTTCAAGTGCCAGCGCAACAAAAGGTGCCCGCCGCTCTGAAGAAATGTTTGGGATGTGGGACACTGTTTAAGATATGGAAAAAGTTCTAAAAAATTCACTGCATATTCACGGAGTGAATGATGATAAGTGCGGCGAAACTTTGCGGGCTCTCAGCCCGTCCTTTCATCCATCTGTTTGTCTGTTCCTTTGCCATCGTATCGAACTCCTATCAAACTAAACCACACGCTACACGCGTTCATGCCATCTAGTGATCACTTCACGTACTGCAACATCTCAGCGTCATCTAGTGAACATTTTGAGAAGTAAGTACGGAGGAGGGACTGGGCCATAGCGTGTGGAGCTTCACCCCTAAAACATAGAACAAAGTATGGTATACGGCACTATATTGACCCTGTATGCATGCTTCTGTGCTCCAGGGAACTGGCAGACGTACACGTTTGATGAGAACAGCACAGGCGTGTCCAGGGGCCTGGAGATGTCACCGGACACCAAGATATTCCAAATGATGTTCGACAGCAAGTGGTAAGCCTGCTTCCAGTGCAGTTCCCTTCGGCGATTGTGTGTGCCTCCCTTTGCCTAGTAACAATTCATATTTAAGTTGACGTAAACAACTGTGTTCAAGAATACGTCTAGCATGTAACGAGGCTTGGCAAGCAGCCAGGCAACTAGCTTTGTTTTCAGTTAGGCCTAACATAACTCTTGGCTCAGTTAACAATTTAGAGCAAGCAACCTTGTCTAAAGCTATGCCAAACATATAACTAGGCTTAGCACGGAGCTAGGTCTAATACACAACTAGGCTTTGTGTCCGGTTAGGCCTAGCACGCCACTGAGCTCAGCAGACAGTTGTAACTAAATGTTGCCAACCAACAACAGCTTCATGTCCCAACTGTCATGCAGGGAGACGTCGTCTCACAGTAGCTCAAGCTCGAGCTCCACCACTCTGCTCGACAGTCCCGCAGCTTCCGCCGCAGCACCCTCTCACGGCGGCACATGCCCGATCGCCATGGGCTTCAGCCCAGCCCCCGGCATGACGCCCTGTGTGACCACCACGGAGGCGTCTTCCTCTATCGCCATGGCAAGCAGCTCGAAGCTCCGCCCCTCCCCTCATCATCCCCAGCACCGTTCACACCACCACGCCCAGCATCATTCGCAGCAGCAGCAACATCAGCAACAGCTCCTACAAGTGCAGCCGTCGTCCTCGTCGTCGCTTCAGCAGTATTCTCATCAACCTCAGCACCGCCATCGCCGGCGCGGTCACCACACCGGTCCCCGTGGTGACGACATTGTAGGGGGAGTGCCGTCTACGCTGGACCTTTCGCTCCCGTCCGGCATGGGGGCGGCGGCTCTCGGACTGCGTCGGGGCGGGGCTACGTTGCTGGAGAACCGGTTCGAGTTTGGTGCTGCCGGTGAAGGGGCTGGCGTCCGGTTTGATGGTTCGCGAGGTAGCAGCGGTCCTGTTCTCCTGGCTGAGTCCCTCCTCAGTCGCATGGCCATGGCAGCTGCAGCAAATGGTGGTGGCGTCGGGCCTGCGACGTTGTCGCAGACTGCATCTTCACAGGTGTGGCAGTTTTGTTGATGAAAAAGAAAAAAAAAAATAGTGAATTGAGCTGGACTGTTGAGAAGGTTAACCTGAGGCTCTAGTTGATTTATTCTATAAAAAAAAAAAGTAAATGGGAATCTAACTTGGAAGGGATGTCACAATAGAAGACTCGTAGAGATTTTGCAGATGATTGCTCGATTGTGGACTCCACCTTTACTTGCATCTTCCTTTGGTATGTGCGTCTTATGTTCTATGCATTAATTTCCTTTACAGAGCTTGACATAAAGGTGGGTTGGTGGGACATAAGGGTGGGTGGGACACTAAAGGCAAGTGACGATCTATGTCAAAGTGAAAGTCAATATATGACAATGTCTCAGACAATAATATTATCAACAACAGTGCCTTACTTATCAAGAAATTAAAATAAATGTATTAAAAGACGTGCACCACGAGCGGGACATTTGCGAAATAATCCCGATGACGTAAGAGTGTCCAGCTGCTATTAATCACAAGTAATCAAACTGGCTGCAATAAAATGAGAAGTTTCTGTGCATCAAAAGAGGTAATAAAATGCTGCTTGTCTGTTTCTGCTTGATATATAGCAAAAAGAACTGCCTGGCGTTACTGTGGGGAATGGCGTGAGTGGTTCAAAAGTTCAGTTTTGGCTGGCTAGGCTGGATAGGTGGGGCCATCTAGCGGGGCCCAGTTGAACCAAGCAGGGAAAACTATAGCTTTTGAGATTGCAGAAAATTTTTCAACGGCTGTTGTTGCTACTGTGGCTTTCGCTACTTTAGCTCCACTGCTACTCGTTTCGGCGGCCACGTAGTTAAGTCGAGCAACGTTGAGTGCGAAAACAGTGACGTCCAAGAGATCGCTCTCACGGGGGTGATTTGAAGTGCGCTAAAGGAATGTGGGTCATTGAAACTTGGTTTTATTTAAAAATAAGCGCTTACTTGGCACAAAAGGAACAGCTTGAGGAATAGTATGGAAAGCTGGGCTATTTGGTACTGATGCATTTTTGGTTACAGTGTGAAATCAAAGACGAAAAACAGAAGGCACACTGGCAGCGCTCGTCTGCGTCCCTTCCGTCTTCCGACTTCGTCAGTTTCATGCTATAGCCAAAAATGTCGCAGTAAAAGGTTTCAGGACCACCTTTTGAACAATCGATGTCGACTTACTATTAGCTTTAGTGTCCTTTTGAAATGAAGACAAAAGAGGCTTGACACACACAATCATTGTGACATACACGGCTAATGTTTCTCAAGCCCCTTCTCAGTTTTTGCCTTATGCACATTCATTCTGTGCACAATTAGAAACATTTCTGATTCTATGTCAAAGTGTTTAATTTCTGTTTTTATGTCATAGTGTCGTTCAGTGTCGCACCCTAATACTTTGTTTGCAGGAAGGGCAGATTTTTTGTAATGTCAACACGCGTACTTGGTCATGTTCTTTCTTCATTGACTACTTTTCACAGCCTAAAATGAAGAAGCAATCTATGAGCTCAACGCGGGGCTACTTGTATCCGAAGGTTCTAGAATGTTTTAGCTGATCAGGATAACCTTGCATGCATGATGGGCATAGCGGTGTATGATCGAGAACATACGTGAGTTTGAGCAAATACGCTGGGAAGTACGGTGATGTGCGTTTAAAGAGCTGACATGCGTCACTTGTATAATTGAGCTTTGAACGATCAAAAGCTGGATTAACTGTGGTTCTGTAAAGAGTGTTACTTTTTTTCTTTAATATAAGATCAATAATATCAGTACCAAAAGTCTGTTACCACACATGATAATTAATTAAGGAGCCAAAACTAACGTTCAAAGGGGTACTGACAAATATCTGAAGTTGAGTTAGTTCTGTCGTATAAATCTCCTCTATACAAGATGCCTTTGAGCAACTGTGAAGATATGTAAATGCTGGTAATGTATTTTGTTTTGGCATTAAAGTCGTTTTTCTCACAGTGAACCTACTGACATCTGTGCTCTCGGGACGTCAGGCTATAGTAATAATTTTAATGGCATCACGCACCAGTATGGCTAGTAGGGTGACGTCAGCTGCACCAAAACATTCGAAACAGCCGCTTGTGTGTCATCGCTGAAGCCATAAAGTGGAGCAGCTGCAGTAACGTTGCATCATCTCACTCAAGCATGTGACGAGACGCTAATACCGTGTAGTGACATCAAAGTATAGTAGGAATGAAAACTAGCTTTAAAAAAAAAAGGCAGCTTTGCACTTGTGGTGCCTAGCATAAAGGAACAATGGAACTGGGAGGCCTTTCGTGTATCTCTTACTCTTTATCTTTTTTTTTCTCTTTTTTTGTCTGTTTTTTTCTGTCTACTTTTTCCTGTGTATACCCAGCGACAACTTTTCTTGGCACTCAAGGGAAAGCTACGGGGGCGGAGCTTCTGCACAAGTATCACTACGCCAAGTAGTCCGACTTGGCACGCGTCTTGGAACGCTGTGGAAGGTGACGGGGGTGCGCCATCAGGGTTTCTTGTAGACACAGATGCAGCGTAGCGTTTGAGGTACACGTAAAAAGGCGGGACTTTTGCGTGTTTGAAAACGCGAAGTCACGACGAATAAATTGAAAGAAATACGATTGTCTGTGTACTGCGTCCTGTTTCAAATAGCTCCACGTAGAAAGTAAAGGCGGAACTTTAAATTTGACGTTAAAAATGCGGGCGATATTGTGAAACTATATTGACTGGCGGTAGGATGCATGCGGTTTGGCTCTCTAGCCTTCATTTCTATGCCAAGAAAAGCTATTGCCGAGTTTAGTTCTTCAATGTATGTCGATCTTCCTCTTCTTCATCCCTTTCCTTTTCAATATGTCTTTATTTTTCTCTCGCTGTACTTGTTCCCTTGCCAATCCAAGTTGTTGTGCAGCACCAGCTGCAGTTTCGTGCTAACGCCATGCAGCCTGAACCAATGGTGTAAGCAGTTCCGCTGCTAAAACGCAGAGTAATTAATTTTTCAGAGTGCACTCGCACTTGACAGTAAGCTTGCTAGGCTGTTGAGGGAGTGGAGTTTCATTTGACACACACAAAAGAAAACAACTGAATATTTTTGCGTCAGTGCAGTCACGGAATCAGATTGTTGTTTGCGCGGTCTCACAGGACACCGAGCTGGACTCGACGTGTCACATGCGGTTTGTGGGCAGCGGGACGCTGCGGGGCGGCAAACCGCGCCACTACTACCGCTTCCGACTGCTGCCTTGCAAGTCCATCAAAGTTGGGTTTGACCGCTTGGCCCTCATCACAGTCCTAGACAGGTTGGTGGGTTTTTCTTTATTGAAGGGAAAAGACACGAGTAGTAAGAATGTTCTTTGAACGGGCTCTGCAACACTTTTCGAAGTAGCTGTGGAAGGAGTTCACTAAAGCAGCTTATTGCCTCACGAATGAACCGCTGTGAGAATTTTTAGAATCCGTCTAGTACGAACGGAGTTACAAAGCTTTTCCGCAAGCAGCAATTTTTCTTTTCTCGTGTTCTGAAGGAAGTGTCACCACTTAAGCAGGGAGGGATGCCACGGTCGGAGCAAGGTATGCCATGTCATGCATGCCTTGTGACTTTGAGCACTTTTTCGTCTTTTTTTTTGTGAACATATGGCTTTTCAGCATGATCATGAATGAACACGTCATAGTCTCCTGTGGCGGCCTCAGTAACTCCCAACCCGAACTTCATCTCTAGACGTCAATGTTCAGTAAGATCTCATGATTGACTTGTCCTTCGGTTCAAGCAAGTGCAAGCATTTAACTCTCGCTAGCTCAGGCATACTTTGCCGCACCCTGGGCGAACATATTTTTTTGCCTGCACACGCACAAAGTGTACAGGAAATTCAAAACTAAACTCAGGGTGCCAGTTATACACGAGTTTTGGTGGTTTGTCCAGCAATCCTTCAGAGTAATGAAAAGAACGCGACCTTGCATTAGTATGTGTGTAAACAAAATTGGATTAAGAAGATTTATTGCTGTTGGTGTCAAGATGACAGGTTTTGGCCATGTTGCCATGGTTTTTTTACCGAATATGGCCATGTGGCCACTTGATCACGCATCTGCAGAACCCGGCAGAAAATTCGATTGAACAAGATTAGCAAGGATACGTCATCAGCGCCAAATATAAAAGTGTCACTTGAGATGTAAGTTGACTTTCATCATCCCTGAAAGCTAATAGAAAGAGAAAAATCAAGTTTCGTGCTTGTTCATTGTGATCACGTGGCAAAACCGAAACGGCAATAGGGCATTGTTCTAGACTTTGGATACACTGAAGCTAGAAATCAGTTCTGTTTATTTCTGCAAGAAGTTAACGCCATCAAAATTTTATGCTTATTGTATGTCCTAGGAGTTGGCACCTCCCTATGAGCATGCATCCTCATTTTGGTGCGAAATTTCAAACGGAAGATTGAATCTTGTACCTGTACGATACAGTGGCGCAAGGGTATGGGGGAGCTGGAGCATACCTCCCACCCCCTTCTAAAATTTTCATCTGCTCTCCCTTTGCTATCTATGAGCAAACTTAGTAGAAATACTACGCCTAAATTTTTCGCCTCTCAGCCTGCCACTCCCTCCCGGAAAGATCTCGCTTGTTGGGGGTGTCCACGTCCGCTGTGGTATAGCAGTGGTTAAGCAGAGTTGGAGGTCGCGGGTTCTATCTCTGCCACAGCAATCAGACTTTGGTGGATCCAGATGTTAGGGGCCCATGTTCTGTGCGATGTGAGTGTAGGTTAAAGAACACCAGATGATCCAAATTTTCGAAGCCCTCCACTATGCCATTTCTCATAATCATGTGGTGGTTTTGGGATGTAAAACCCCACATATCACTATTATTATCGTGGGTGCCCCTTCAGCAAAAGAATCCTGGTCTCACCCATGCTGGGGCAAAAGCCTTGCAGGTTGGAATAAGCCACCGTACTTGTATGGCAAATTCCTTCAAAGGGTAAATTGCCCATTGCTCGCTGCTCAGGAACCTGACAGTGGTGGAGAACGTCCTGTCCATTGTCCTGGCTGTCCTGGTGGCTGTCCTGGGCTCCCTGTGTCTCTCCCAAGGCTTCTTCCAGGACATCTACAGCTTTCTTTTCTGCTTCGTCATGGCCAGCTGCCAGTACTGTCTGCTCAAGGTGGCTGTCCTGTGGAATATTTTTAAATATTTATCTATTAACAAATAAGCTTTAAACAGTATGTAACCCAGATTTTATGAACCCTTATTTGGGTCAGTATAAAAAAAAAAAACTAGAATTGTGGAAAATTATGTAGTTAGCGCACACAAACAACTATGATCAAAACAAAATAAGCAATGAATTGTTAATTAACTTCGAAGAAATTGTTGATCTTGTGTGGAGCTTGCCATATTTACTAAATTTCACATCAATGTTTACATGCATTGACTAATTATTGAGTGACGTTGGAAAATAGTTCTGTGTGCTGTTATACAATGCAGCGAAACTTCATTCAAAGATTACTACGATGTCCTCGCCTCATCGTACTAAATATTTGGCATACTATGGCTCCTTGCCTTATGAAATTCAGCAAATTTTTTTTGTCATTGTTTAAAGGGTCTGTAAAATAGTTAGGAATACATCAGTTTACACAGGTTAAATATTTTTTCCCCATCTTTTACTTTAACTAGTCTGGCTCAGTGTTTATAAGTGTTGTGTGGAGGAGACATGAAGAAAACATCGTTATTGAAAGCAATATTTTTATAAGTAGAAGTTACGGGTCTTATAATGAAAAAAAACAAACTCTGAATGTATTTCCCCCCTGAGCATTGCCTGTAGAGGCCTAAAGGTTAAATTATGTGAAATAATAAAACATATAAATAAGTAAATGAATAAATAGATAAGCATTTATTGTACAATACCTTCACGAATATAAACAGAACGATTAAGGGCTTAGTAATGCTGTCATTATCAACGTCAGAATCATGTTTGGCGTTCTTTTTCACCGTTTTCAGTTCGGGTCATATCAGTGTAATTTCAACTTGAGCACAAAGATCAAAGCCAACATTATCTTTAGAGACCAGATTACTTGCAATTATAAGTGTGAGAATATTGAAACTTTCAAATATATTTTGAACAGTGTTTGCTATTTGATTCGATTTGCATTGGAATTTCACTATGCGAGGTATTCGAACTTCTGGAAAGTAAAAATAACAATTTACAAAATCGGTGTGCAGAGCACTTGTTCTTGCATTTTGGGGCGCCTTCATGCAAAACTGCTATCCTCTTTCACTGGTGTTCTTCCACTGGTGCCTAAAATAGCGGCGCCGAGCTGAACCATTGCGGAGCCATAAAGTTTTTGGAATATGATGTATAACATTGGCGACTCCCTGCAACCTTTTTCCTGTACTTTTCCTGTGCTGTTTGCACAACATGACGCGGCTATCTTAAGCAATCATGCATACCAGTCGTAATGCTAAGGAATTTCATGTCGCATTTTAATCCACAAATGCTGTACATATTGCATGAATTCTCGCTGGATTAATTAATGAATTGGTCAATTGTGAGTGCTTGGTCTTAAATTTATCTTAACATCTTACATTTGTGGTTAATTTTCTTGCTGGCCTATCCTGTTAATAATTAATACAGTTAATTAATGAATTGGCCAATTGTGAGTGCTTGCTCTGTCATTTGTCTTAACATCTTACTTTTGTGGTGACTACACTCGGCAGGTATGTGTTTGTTTTGTCACAGTTGGGCCTAGTTGATTCTTCACTGACCCATGTTTCCCTGTCAATATTTTAAACTTTTGTTGTCTCTATGTATGGTTTGATCTCACATCGAGCCACTTGTTCAAGTTGTCGGTGTCAATAATGCTAAGCATTTTGTATCCCCGAAGATCTCAAGATAACTAGAATCTTGCTGTTCGTCATTGTTCATTTATCATATCCCAACTGCAGTGTGCTTGTCCCAACGACCGATAGTGGCATGTTACCTTGCTGTACATGTTTATTAGCGTGAAAATATTTCTTTCCACAACATCTTTGTATTAGATGTTTGCCTCAATAAGTGTCATCTGTCCTTTCAGAGTGTTCAACCAGATGCTGCCTCTCCGACCCACGTGAGTTATTGCAACTTGATTCATCAAGAAAAAAATGGTCGCATGTCTAGAGGCGCAGTATGAGATATGGATGCCATCTGGCAGTAATGTTGAGAAATAAAAGCTTGTGCAGAATGCAAAGTCACAGGTGGGTGGCAGCACCCTGTCATTTTAAGGAAGTGTAAGAAACACTCGTCACATTGTCAGCGCAGCGTAAGAAACACTATGGTCTTTAGAATTATATATATATGCATTTTTTAAGAAAGAAACACACTATCTAATACTTACGTATTGATGTTGTGCCTCAGCTATGCATAGTATGTGCTTTTTGATCAACAATGTTTATAAGTGCAAGCGCAGCCACCAGATCAAAATGGCTGGGCATTGAGCAAGAGCCTAAACTTTCACCGAGTGGCCGAATCGTTTGGAGGGACTGACAGGCAGGCAGAAAGAAAGACAGACAGACCAAATTTTCTGTACTGAAGTATCCCAAGAAAGATTATCGTCTTTAAAAACTGCATACTAAGCCTGTTCAAGGGTTGACATGTCGCTCGTCAATCTTGACCTCCTTTGTTCTTTAATTGAAGACTTGAGCCTTGTAAGCTTGAAGAAGAGTACCGGAAATTTTTCATGCACCCTGTGTAATTTACTTGAAAACTTGTTGAAAAAACCATTTCGGGATCCACAAAATCGACTTGTCGTGGTGTCATTAACCCCTTAACCATATTTTGAAAGTTTTTCTGTCTTGGTATTGAATGTTTTGCTTCTAAGAATCATGTTTTGATTGAGAAAATAAATGTATGTAATAAGTCAAATTAGCATAATGAAACTTATTGTTCCATGCCCTTGTAATGTTTTTATGATTTGCCAAATAACGTACAAAACTGGTGAATACAATACGTCACGCCATCATGTGGTGTTACATGAATCGCTTTACCGGAGCACTTAGCGCTTTTTCTAACTGGATGTGACCATGCTTAACCCTTTTCCTAACTGGTTGTGACCAGTTGCTTAGCTCTTTTCTTAACTGAATGGGACCAGGCACTTAGCTCTTTTCCTAACTAGATTTGACCACGTGCTTAGCCCTTTTCCTAACTGTATTTGACCAGCCACTTATCTTTTTTCTAACTTGATGTGACCAGGCGCTTACCTCTTTTCCTAACTGGATGTGACCATGCTTAACCCTTTTCCTAACTGGTTGTGACCAAGGGCTTAGCCCTTTTCCTAACTAGATGTGACCAAGCACTTAGCCCTTTTCCTAACCAAATGTAACCAGGCACTTAGCCCTTTTCCTAACTTGATGTGACCAGGCACTTAGCCCTTTTCCTAACTGGATATGACCATGTTACCAGGCACTTAGCTCTTTTCTTAACTTAATGTGACCAGGTGCTTAGCCCCTTTCCTAAATGTGTTTGACCAGGCCTTTATCCTTTTTAACTAGACATGACCAGGCACTTAGGCCTTTTCCTAACTAGATGTAACCAGGCACTTAGCCCCTTTCTCAACTGGATGTGACCAGGCACTTAGCCCTTTTTCTAACTGGATGTGACCAGGCACTTAGCCGTTTTCCTAAGTGGATGTGACCGGGCACTTAGCCCTATTTCTAACTGGGTGTGACCAGGTGCTTAGCCCTTTTCTTAACTAGATGTGACCAGGCACTTAGCCTTTTTTCTTACTACATGTCACCAGGCACTTAGCCCTTTTCCTAACCGGATGTGATCATCAGGCCCTTAGCTCTTTTGTTAACTAGATATGACCATGCTTAATCCTTCTCCTAACCAAATGTTACCAAGCTTCAATTCCCACAAGAAAAAACGATATACCAAATTTACCATGAATCCTTTGCTCAATTTGTAAAATTTGTTTTTCTGCATGAAACGATACCAGTCCTTTCAATTCAATGAGATTCCTTTATTTCAGCATTATGCAGAAACAATTGGAGGGTAGCTTCACTGCATAGTAATTCGATGAAAGTAGGCAGTAAAGTGAAAGCCAGGACACAAATGGCACAGCATGAACAGATGTGTCAATCTAGCATCAGGAAACACAACTATGACAAATGTACTCGTCATTGGTTACATGTGGCATACAGTGTCCTAAAATTGACTATAGAGAACTCCAGCACTGCGATTAATCAGCCACCATGGGAATGGCGGGTAGTACACAAATTTGTGTAGTCTTCATGCTTGGGGGCTTCAAATGAACTTGTGGCTTTCTGTATCATTGTGTTTTAGTTTTTTTTTAAATAGAAAACTAACCATTGTGAACTTTATGACTTGGTTCAAATTGGTGAGCCTAAAAGGTAAACGTGGCAAAGTGTGACTGCTGAACATTTGTTAATTGGCGTCCCGTGGCAATGCAACTCCATGCCCTGTGAAGCCAAACGAAGCCGGAAGTACAAAGAATAGACGAATTTGTGCACTACCAATCATTCCCATGTTAGCTGTAGCACCGTGCGTTGCAGCTCTGATAGACCATCGCGCCAGAGTTCCGTCCAGAGTATTATTAGGAAGCTCTATCACATGTGGGACTTATTTTTTTTTTTAGCGGTTGTAGTCATCATCAGTTATTTTTGAACGAAATCTCATGATGGTGACACTCGGCAGTGGGAGGGAAAGAGTTGATGTCAGTCATCGTTTGTCTCGCAGGGGTACAACCGGGTTGTCTTGTACAGCCGTCCTGTCTACTTCTGCCTGTGCTGCTCGATGCTCATGCTCGTGCAGTTTCTGCTTGACTCGAACATCGAGTACCCGCAGGTCACCCTGTACGGTATGCGTCTCGTCACCGATGCAGCCGTTGCGTGGGCGCGAAGCTTCCTCATAGGTGGGTGCGAGGGTGTGTTGGTCATGTTCGTTGCCTATTGTCTACGCGCCACAGTGGTCCAGTGGCTAAAGCACTCGGCTGCTGACACGCAGGTCGCGGGATTGTATCTCGGCCGTGGCGGCCACATTTTTGGAGGAGGCAAAAGTGCTTGAGTCCCGTGTGCTTGGATTTAGGTGCACATTAAAGAACCTCAGGTGGTTAAAATTTTCAGAGCCCTCCGTTATGGCGTCTCTCACAATCATACGATGGTTTTGGGATGTTAAATCATAAAAATTCTCGTCATTGCCTATTTTTATTATACTGAAAGGGGCCCTGCAGCACCTTTCCAGGCATTTGTCTAATCACTTCATTACGAGACTTTATTACCTCACAAATTGACTGCTGCAAAATTTTTTTAGGGTTTGTCTGCTACTAGTGGCCTTACAGAGATTTGCCGCATGACTCAAGCTCTTTGTCTTTCCTTTCGAACCAGCGAGCACTGTTAAAGCTACGCAGGGAGAAGGAAGACGGGGAGGGGGGGGGGGGGCAAGAACATGCGTGTGTTCATAAACGTGCACAGTGACCTCGAACACTTCCTTTTCCTTTTTTTTCGAACGTGCAGCCTATTGACAGTGTGATCACGAGAGCACGCACGGGTACGTGGCAGCATTCTGCGACAACCATGATAACTATGCAGCGCATGTTGCTTGAATTGGCCAATGGCTGTGAACTTCAGGCTTATGGTGCAGTAATTCTTTGGCATTCTTTGGAAATTCCAGGACACGTATGGCACTATGACGTTTTGCTAGCATGTTTTCAGGAGCCTTGGCTACTGATCGGCAGTGTTTTTTTTTCTGATATGCTGATTTAGGTTGTAACTATCTGCTTTGAAAAAAATTTCACACCCAAAATTGTGCATGATATGTTTAATAATATATGAGCTACATATTGTACTACAAAGACATTCTTTTTTTTTTTCATGTGCTTCCTTCTTTGCAGTGTTCATCCTGGCATTCCCGGTGACCTTCAGCTTGGGGTTGCTGCCCCAGGTGAACACATTTGTGACGTACCTGCTGGAGCAGATTGACATGAACCTGTTTGGCGGATCGGGTGAGTACGTGCCTGTTACGCCGAACCTTGACAAAATTTACTTTAATTTGCAGCGAATTCAAACGTGATCGCACCATGTTCTCAAGCAAATATCTAAACTGACAAGTGGCATATGACCTTCGCACTATTTCATTGACGGGACGAAGACCAAGAACTAATTATGGTACTAAAACTATAGATTATCAGATTATTTCATCGCTGAATGCATACCCATCCCTAATCGAATTGGCTAATCAGAACTCAAGTATGTCTTGTTTTAAAAAACAAGTAAAGCTACTTTTCCTGCCTCGTTAATATTACAGTTATTTTGCTTTGAACACGAACATATGTAATTTTGTATATTTATGTACATAACTTTATAAAACTGTTAAACCTGAACAATGTAAACTTTGTATATTTTTTGTCCTAATGTGTTTTTTACTGTTCGTTCTTTGTTTATATAAGTTGTGCAATGAGCATTGTACTTATTTTCTCTGATTTTGCTCCTGGCTGTCCGACGTGTAAGTCCGGGGTGAAGGCCTCGTCAGGAGACAAACGAGTATCCTTTTGCCTTGCCTCATGGACATATTTCATGTCATGTAACTATGTCCGAAATAAACTGAAACTGAAACTGAAACTGAATTAATCCCAATATCCCAATTCAGCTTGGATTGTTAACAAGTCGACTGGTGTTGCTCGGTGGTTTTTCAGGAAACAATCTAACAAAATGTTCCCTTTTGTGCTAAATGCTTTTGCACTGCCAGCAGAATACAACTGCTAAGTTAAGGTTGCGGAATCAAATCTCACCCGCAGTGGTTGATTTTGATGGAGGTGGTATGCCATAAGCCCGTGTACATACATTTACGTGCGTGGTAAAGAACACCTGCCAGGAAAAATTTTTAGAGCCTTTCATTATGGCATCCCTCATAATTTTATCGAGGTTCTGTAACCTAAATTCCAGCAGTTTTTAATTATGACTACCAATTTAACATACATCTTCATGAGTTGTCGCAGGAACAAGTTTGTACAAGTGTGTTAGTTTTTTTTCTCAGTACGACAAAACGGTGTAATGCACAGGGAAGTCGGTTTCAAAGCTGTCAAGCTTTTGAAGAAACTAGACTGTCTTTTTCGTTAGTAGCAAGTTTTGTTAAGTTGCGAACACTCTTGGGCATGCCTATTGAGTTCTGTAAATGCTTGTTTTTTTAGAATTTTCCTGTGTCAAATTTTGACTTAGTTGAATATTCACCTATTTTAGCATTAGTGGTCGTCTACTCCCCTCTTGCGAGGGGTCATGGAAATTGCGTGCAGTTGGTTTTAAAAAAAATGAAAGTATCTGACACGTCATATTTTTTCCTCTCTTATTGCATTATCAGCGACCACTGGATTGGTGTCGGCCATATATTGTGTCTCACGAAGCCTGGCATTTGTGGTGTGCCTGTTCGGACTGGCCTACGTTGCACTGAAGGTAATCTTGTAACATACGTTATGTTACGGATTTCAGTATGTAAATCGACTTGTTGCATTGTTGTTCGTGTGCCAAATTTTTAAGTGTCTGAGTGTTCTTATGATAGGGTAGGTGGAACCATAATAGTGCCTTAGCCATATTTTAAGCATATTTTTTTTTCTTCGAGCTTGAAAGTACGGCTTTGTGCTTGAGCTTGTATTATGCTAAGCATGTTAAAGAACACCAGATGATCTAAATTTTCGAAACCTTTCGCTACGGTGTCTTTTAAACATATTGTGGTTCAGGGATGAAAGATTCCCAGAGGTTATCATTATCTATGATGCTCATGTCTTTACTAAATTCAGTTAAATGCACGAACCACACTGAATTAGTAGAAGATGACAGTGTAGTTTGTCACAATGAGGGGGAATTTCAGACGCCTAAGACGCAATAAGAAAACCATGGAAGCTCAAGGAAAGAGCGTCATCTTTCAGCCTCTACGTTCTTCTTGTGATGTCTTAGGCATGTGAAATTTTTTTTATTATGATGTGCCAACTAGCCCACCAAAAGTACTCCGTAGTTTGTCACGTTCCTCATTCATTGAGAGATGCACCAGCTTTGAGTAGCGCACTACATCGCATTACACAACTGCGTTTCTGTAAAACGTACTAATGGAAATTTATCTTCATAGCACAAAACCTTAGCTGCCTAAACCATCTGTATTTCGATATTGGAAACTGCAAACTTTTTCTCTGTGGTAAATACTTCCTTTCAGATTAAGTGTTAGTTTATCCTTATAGGCCATGACACTGCCGTTTTGTCAGTGCAAATGTTTTCAAACAACAGGAGAAGTGGTCACAGAACCATCAAAGGTATACTTGAAAGGGCAAAGCTCAGTGCGGCATTAATGTATTGAAAGTAGCTGTGAATATTTCTTATGTGCAGTTGTCACGGATCGAAACACACTTAACTTTTTTTTACGGTATTGACTATGAGCAATTCTCAAGATAATCGCATCAGGCCTCTACAAATATGATCGTTCAAAGTGATGTTAGCTCTGATGTAAGTGTTCCAATCCAAATCACACCAATATGACACAAACTAAACTCCCTGAAAATGGAATTGTGTTCATTACATAGCCCTGAATTATTGTGTACCAATCTGTGTGAGTACTCTACGAGTAACACAGTGTCCTATGCTCTGTTCTGGACTTTTTATGACAATGCTAGCGCTGTTTTATGGGGATCTTAACTTGATATTGATTTCGTTCATTATATCCAGATTTCGTCATAAATACGTGAATGTGATCCAAGACCTCCCTTGTGCAATATTTCTTTCACAGGAGGGCCATAACCCGTCGCAGCACATCATGTTCTCCCTATTCTGCGGTTTCCTCGTCACCTCATGCTATCTGCTCAGTAGGAGTGCCAGTGATCCCACCATACTCTGGTAAGTCCTCATTCATCACTATGCGTTTGCTGAAGGGTAAAACACTGTGCAGTGAACATTTTTATAAGCACAGGAGATTTGAATGTGGCTTTTTGTGTGGCCCTTATAATTGCCACCTTATAAATGGCCTTTACTCTGTTGCTGTTGCATTCATTCTTTACTGGTCTTCAGCCTTGCATATGAAAAATTAATGTGTCATTTATTCTGTGAACAAAAAAAATTGCGAGTTAATCGAGTGGCTTGCCCTCACTTTTCCGAAATGGTTGTCTCAATTAGTTTGTCTTGTTGATTTGACAGCAAAGGTCTCCCTTCTGGTTAAATGATTGATTAATTGATATGTGGGGTTTAACGTCCCAAAACCACTATATGATTATGAGAGACGCCGTAGTGGAGGGCTCCGGAAATTTAGACCACCTGGGGTTCTTTAACGTGCACCCAAATCTGAGCACACGGGCCTACAACATTTCCGCCTCCATCGGAAATGCAGCCGCCGCAGCCGGGATTCGAACCCGCGCCCTGCGGGTCAGCAGCCGAGTACCTTAGCCACTAGACCACCGCGGCGGGGCACCTTCTGGTTAAATGAATGTCTTAGATATTGTACCAGGAGAAAAGGAGGCATCCTGGCAACTTATGGAACCAGTACGATGGGTGGGTTGTAGTTTGACTTTGATCGATCGATATGAACAGTCTCACGATTGCGACATCGTCGTTCTGTCGGCAGTTGAACCGACTCAACAATGTGATTGAACGAAAGGGGCTTCACATAGGACTCAGTAAGGGCCTTTATTGCGGCAGTAATTTCGTGGAAAGGCTGAGAGCAGATGAGGTAATCGAAAGCCATATTAACGTCCCAAGTGTACAAAAATAAGTTTTCTTAAGCCAGTTTTTCACACTGTATCTCGTCAAATTGATCAAGCATATTTTGTTTCTGTGTCTTTGTACCAACAGGAATCTTATCAAGCGCCACCTGTGGTCAGATAGCGCACCAACTGCCAATGCCACAGACAGCGCTCCTGAATATGTAGATCCACTGCCGGCAAAACTAGAAAAAACATTTGTGAGTGCATTATTTTTGTCGACAGCAGTGCCTAACTGTTTTATTTCTTGTCTTTTTATGTGTGAACTATCAATGTTGTTTTTCCTAGTGACGTCATTCGATGCACTTACAGTGCTTCGTTAATTTTTTAAGCAGCACTTGCTCTTACATGGCTGTATTGAGCCGTTAAAACTGGGCAGTATTACAATTGTGTACTTAATACACTTACTTTTAGGCTTAAACACTAGGCTTCATGAAGTATGGAATAAGCAATGCAAAATTATTGCAAGGAACTTGAAAATATTTTTGATGATTGTCATGGTTGCAGTAATTCTATTTGGTGCAAATTTATTACTTTAAAGATGTGACTACGAGTTATAATTGCAACTATTTAATAGGCTCTGCTATGTTGGTGCATAATTTTGAAATCCCATAACATAAATTAAAAACTGAATGACTGGGAACATAATTAAATCTGTATCGCTTCAGTGTAGCTCTCTGCTGTGCCTTTTTGACTGTTTCAGAGGGCCAGGTTGAGGACGGACGCGATACACTGCGTCTTCGTGGCAATCTTCGTGTTTGCGGTGCACGTCAGCACGATGTTCTCGGCACTTCAGGTAAGCTTTTTCTTTCGCCGCTGGTCGGTACAGTGCCCTTACTTCTCAGTTCACGATATTGAGGAAAAAGGTGCACGTTGCTGTTACGATGGACTGCCGGTAAACGGAACCTCACAGGACTGGGAAACTACCTTCTATTTAACAGGAGTTCCGTTCATTGAGAGATAAAAATTCACGTGCAAAACGAATCGTATGAGAGACAATTCTTCTATTTAAGCAGCAGATCTGTTTAAGTAATCATGTTTTCTTTTTCGAGAGCCTGCTTTCGGTACCTCCTTTGCACCCACCACGTTGGTCTAGTGCTTATGGGGCTCGATATTGACTTGCTGGTTGCGGGCTCGCACCTCGGCTGTGGTGGCTGCATTTTTGATGGAGGCAAGAATGTTTGAGGCCCATGCACTTGTATTTAGTAGCATGTTAAACAACCCCAAATGGTTGAAATTTTCAAAGCTCTCTACAACAGCATCCCTCGTAATCATATGAGGTTTTTAGATCGTTAAATTGTGATAAATAATCTTATTATATCATTTGCTTTTATTTTTTATATAGTTCTTGTAAATTGGTATTGATCAACTTGAATGTATCGTCTTGGTCCCTGTCTTGCTCCTGTTCTAATGCCTGTTTTTTGTTTTTGCATGATGTTCACTGGGACTAGTTTAACGTGTTACCTACCTGCCGTGTATGTGTTAATGCGCCGCAGCCATACCTGGAAATGTTGCTTCACCTTACGGCCGTCGTGTGGGGTCTGCTGCTGCACTATGTGCTGCCCCAGCTGCGAAAGCAGTTGCCCTGGCTCTGCTGTGCTCACCCCATCCTCAAGTCGAACGAGCACCAGCAGTTCGAAGTGCGCGGTCAGTACGGCACTTCTCTAATAGTGTGTGCCACTCACAATCCTGGAAAAACAGACTTTCTATGTAAATCATGAAGAAATATGAGCTAGTTTCCCGTGTGAGTGCTCGTGCATCACTAAAGTGCGAAAGAGTGACCAAGGAACGCTTACAAACAGGACAAGCACTTGTCCTGTCTGTATGTGTCTCTTGGTTAATATTTTGCGCTGACACGATGCATAAGTGTTCTAATGGGAAGCACTCTTCTCCCATGGTAGCCAAACAAATTTCAGATACATTTTCCTGTACCCTCCAGTACAGAAAAATATATTTTTTGTTGCCATTCTTTTAAGCTAATCTGCAAAATAGGGTAGTTTGAAGGTGCCTGTCTCTGGTATTATTTCATATTGGCTTCTGCATAAGTGTTCCTGAGCATGTGGTACATGTCAATGCTTCTGAACCAATAAAACCTCTTTAATGCTTCATGTTCTGATTGCAGAGCCGGCCCGAGTGATGTGGTTCGAGAAGCTGCAAGTGTGGATGTGGTTCATTGAAAAGAACATCATCTACCCTCTGCTTTTTCTCAGTGCCGTGAGCACCAGCACACCTGACATCATCAACCGCTTCGGTGTCGCGTGAGTTTCCAGCGTTTCCATTGCCGTAAAATTTTAAGGAGTACCGTGAAATCCCAAACAAGCACCCCCTTCCCATTTTTGGGAAATTCGAAATATGCGCCTGTGATCTAGCAAGCAGGCCCCTTCTTCTTTCATTTTTTCAACCTCTTCTCTACTGCAGAATATCACAGCAGTGGTTTTTAGGAAGCCCAAGTTCTGCAAGTGTTTAGATGTGTGCACGATTTCTTATACTTCTTCCTTTTAGTTATCTAAAATTTTGGAACATTCGAGAGCGTTTTCTGCCTTTCTCATAGGACATGAAATTTCACGCAAGGATTCTGTACAGTGCAGCTAAAACAGTAAATTCAGGCAAATTCAATAGCAAATTTCATTGGAAGTGTAAGTGAGTAATCTTCTTGTAGGCTTTTGCGGTGCCATTTTGAATTTCAGTTTGTGATCGAGCGAGGGCCTCCCTTAAGGGGGGAGGCTACCCTGGAGACCGAACTTTTTTATTTTTTAAGATATCTGGATGAAACTTTCAGGGATTGTTCACTACAATAAAACTAGCACAACTGCTAAGTTTCACGAAGCTGTGTTTCTTAGTTCCAGAGTTATTGAGGTTTAACTGGGTGCTTCACATAGGGTCCTGAGGAAGAGTCGTGAGAAATCCCAGGACATAGTAGAAAGCTGAAATTCATTGTGGTCATTCCTTAATAGCTATCCCAGGGCGCTACAAAGCCGTTTTTTTTAATTTCCCCCCCCAAAAATTTTCATGCAACTTTTAATTTGATGTAACCAGTAATGACCAGATTCATCAAAAATTAATTGTTTATTATAAATTAACAGCACCAATTTTCAAAAAAAGGAGCTTGTTACGCCCTTGCAAGGTCATTCAGGAACAGAATAAAAAAAAACGGCACACAAATCTGATGAACGGTTTTCGAGTTCTTGCTTTTCTCAGCACCACAACTAGCAAAAAAATCTGTTCTGAGAAAACAGGCCGAGAAAGTTCAAAACACGTGCTTTCTTCAAAAAGCTCCAGCACAGTAGCTAGAAGTGTCCTGGCGCACTTTTTTCTTCTTTTGCCTGGCCTCCATCTTCTCTTGGTGTTTTTTAGAATTCTTTTTTAGGCGTAAAGCGTCTTTTTCACGAGCTCGCTGGATGGCCAGATGACCTGGTTGAAGTCCAATGGAGTCCGATATCACTTGGGTTGCTTTGCAGCAGCCGGCATTGTAGCGCAGCACTGCTTCATGCAGTGCTGTTTCTACCGCGATCAAGGATGAGTGTTGTTCCTTCGGCATCAGAGACCACAGAATGGAGTGGAATGATTCTGATGCATTTTGCGTCTTCGCTCCCAGGCAGCGCTGAAGAAGCGACTTTTGTGACAGTCTTTCGTAGATGGGCAGCATAGCTGCAGCGACATAGTCCGGTAGGCTGTGTTTATGTTTTGGCTGTGGCTCACGCTTTGCCTCTGCAGCTCTATGGCGGCACCACGATTGAGCCCCCTCTGGGCAAAGTTCATGGTGAGGGTCCTGGTCAGTCGATGTGACGTGGTGATATGTTGCCATCACTGCACGCTGCATGGCTGTTAGGTCAGTTGAATTGTTTCTCAGCGCCCAACCATAATATCCTGTCAGCTTTTCAATGAGGGCTTTAGTCAGCCTCCCCTTCCCTCTCAGTGGCTTATCACTTTTCTGCACAATGTTTCAAAGAGCACTTCCAATCCTTTTCTGAACATGGTTCAGACATTCTTCTTTTACAATTGGCACTAGCCCGTACACATTCTCTTCTGTTAGGGCAGCGAAGGTACGGCTGTCTCCGTCGGACACAAGAGTGGTGTACCGCAGGCCATGCTTGGATACAGACCGCCCAAAGAGAGTCAAGCCTGCCTCCACTTCCATGCTTCCCGATTTTGCGTCTGTGTTTTTCTGGCAAATGTGGTGCTTCTGCTAGCTTTCGTATGCTGCATCTCCAGGTTTGGGCCCTGTTTGGCATCCAAGGCAGTGGTTTGAAAGAACTACAGCATCCAAGATGAGACCTTTAAAGAAGTCAATTACCGATCCCACTCCGATGTGTGATGTGTGACCCCGCTTATGCCATGTGCCATCGTACACTACGGTGATGTCCTTGCAGAAGCTGGGGTCCATTTCTTTATATGTTTTGATCACTGCTGTGGCAGAATCAGCACAAAACTTCTCCAAAGCGGTGGCCTTTGGCTTCCTGAACGTCTCTTTCAAGTGCTTTTGAAACGTCTTGTGGTGAAGATCTCTGTAAGAGACGTTCATGGCAGCCCAAAAGTCACTAAGAGCTGTTTGCCCCTTGCCTATTTGCTTTATAGCCATTATGGCGCGGACATTTACATTTAAGGCCTGCGTGTCCTTTTTGCGGGGTGATGTCCATAATTTATCGACGGTGCCACAAGAGGCGCACACGACTTCAAGTTTTGTTGCAAGTCCAAGCTTGGTGCTCTCTCGGACAGTCATAGCACCTTTCAAACATTCTTTGCACACTGTGCGGCTGAGCACGACGTTAAAGATGTTCATTTGAACGAGCGAAAAATGTTCGCCCTCGCTTGTCACTGCAGGTGCAAGAGCCGGCTGCATCAGTTGAAATTTCTTCTGCGTCGCCGGCGTAGACTCGAGTTCAGCGCGAACAACGTCACGACGTTTCGCATTCGCATCGATTTCTTCCTTCGTTAGGAAACGCGTCCGCAGATGAAGCGACGGTCCACTCACGCTCGATGGCGGCACCGATTCAGACGAAGTGCTGGGTCCGGCGATATGGGAAGCACTCGGTGTCACACTGGATGGCATCGATTCGGAGCACGTGTCGAGCCCGGCGATCTCGGAAACACTCGGTGCATTTGCGGCTCCAGCCACACTCGATGTGTCGGATTCTCGACTGGCGACGGCCGACAACACAGTTCCGTCGCTGCAAGCGTCTACGCAGTCGGCACCTGCAGCAGAATAGCAGAATTTCGATGATCGTACAAGCCCCATAGCGCGCCTCCGCGCACCAGACTTCCGCACTGACTTCGGCTTCGTTGCCGGCATCGGCCGCAACAACAAAGACGAAAGGCACAGAACTAGTGCAAAAAGAAAAAAAAACGAGAGAAAATGATCGAAAAATAGCACAAGGCGAAGAGCGGCACGTAAGCAGACGTCTGCAAGGCGGACGGAGCAGAGAGCAACAACGAAGCGAGCGCGCTGGACGCGCCATCAAGAGGAGCGACCGCCCCCGCTGCTGCACAGGAGCCAATGGCGGGCACGCTTTCTCCCGCGAGATATGAATGCGCTGCTCTAGCCAATCAGCGCTCCGCATCGCATCGCGGGAAAACGCTAATAGCGTCTCAACTGTGCTGCCGACGCCATTTTGCAAGGCGGCGAACGAGAGAGAAAGAATTCACGGTCAAAGCAACACCAAGATGGCGCGGGACGACCGCATGGTCTGGGAATGGCGCGCGCGAAGTTTGGTTTGATTTCGGGATTTGCGTCTGTTTTGGACGCCGCGGCAGCCTCGAAAATAGTATTTTTTTTGCACTTTGCGGTTGAATTAGGTGCTGCTAATTACAGAATAGGTAGTTTATGAGACATACAACCCAAAAATGTGGTTTTTCAAAAACCGACTTTTTCGCGATTTTTCGGTTTTCAAGGGCCGCGTCCCCCCTTAAACCTTGTCCAATTATTTTTCACCGTAAGGGGGGCTGGTGCTGGCTCAGTATTTTTTAGGCAGCTATGTGGCACTTCTCAGCCTGTTGCTGTCACTTGTTACTCTCCCTCTCTTTTAAATGTGTGTTTGCAGTGAGAAATTTCCAAGCTTCTCATAGTATTGCATTCCAACAGTAGAGCTGCTTATTCTCCCTAATGTTTAATAGGGTTCAGGAATCTGTGCTCGTTATAGAATTTTATGAATGTTGTATCAAGCTTTTAGAAGAAGTAAACAAACAATATTTTGTAACAATATGACTATATGCTGGTTGAAAAGTTTTCATGCACTTATTGAAAATTGAAAAAAATGTGTATAAAACATAGACATTTGCACAGAATTAAAGTATATTCAAGATGTTCTTTGTGCAGGGCACAGGGAGATAGCATCTGATGCACTTGCACTTAGCTGGCTTTTACAGAGTTAAGAATCATTGTATCTTCATCTTCTTGCTCTATTTCTCTGTGTCAATTCTTTTTATATCAATCAAACAATCTCTTAATCAAACTAAGAATCATTATATTTATTAGATACAACACAGCTCTTTGACTAGCCTGTATAACGCTGTCCCTCCGTCCACACTACACTCCTCTGAACGCAGATGTTGGGGCAGTGCCGAATAGGTCATGTCTTCCCTCGCTGTGCGCACGTGTTGACGTCACTCTCTCCCTAGCCTGTCGCCGCTTGTCACGTGTCATCTCTCTCGCTTCACCCTCTCCACCGCTCGCAACGTTCGAGCACACATTGAGTGGAAACACCTCTTCTGCTCGTTTATCTGCCATGAAACTAACAAGAAACCCAATCCGCCTCCCATGTCCTTGTGTTTCAAAGAAACATTCATTTGAGTAAAGGCTACACCAAGTTTCGCTTCAAACCGTTCTTCCAGCACCCGCATCGACGCCCGTTTCAGTCGGGTTAACGGCTTGCGCACCACTGCTGCTTTGCGACCTATAGTGGTTTCCTTCAGGGAGGTGGTCCATACATTTAATCTTTCTACCTTTTTCTCTGTGTGCTTAAAGCCACTAGCAGTAGCCTGCATTAATGGAGTGAAACGTCAGTATATTTTTCATTCTTTCGCTCAACTGTCTTACTTTTATCAGTGCTTCCTTGTATTATTTTACAATTATTATCACTTTGTCTTGCTCCTGTGTTACTTTTCGCCTAAATATCTGAATAGCTTATGCTTATCATTTTTTCACGGGGAGCTTTGATTACTTTGCTGTTTTTTTATATTTTTATTTTTTTTGCTTTTAAGTAGTGTTTTTTTTTTTAACATAGTAATGAGGTCCCGTTACAGTGCTTGAACTATGGGACCTTTTTTCTGTACTATCATGTCTCAATTCTGTACATATACTCACTACTGAATGAACAAACTGTCCTATACCCATCACTCAATCAATCAACCAATCAATCAATCATGCCAAGGCAGTTTAGTATTCATCGCTCTTCTTTCTCCCTGTGCTTCATGCCACTAATGATGGCTACCGAATACGCTTGCACATAGCGCACATTCATGGAGTAAATTTTCTACAAATTTTTTTATCTTTTTGCTCAATTCTTCTACACTTACACCTCAATATAACAAACCCGGATGTATTGAAACTTCGTATATAACAAAGTAAACAAAGTAAATGTAGAATAGCCTGGCAGTCGATGTAGTGTTAGTAATATAGCTTTATGACAAATTTTCGGATATAGCAAACTTATTATTATGGAGGATGCACTTTGTCATAATGAGGTTTCGTGGTATTTTAGTTAGCCAAACCAAGGCTGCATTATATTCACCTTTTTTTTTTCTCTCCCTCTCTTCACTTTGTGCTATCAGCGGTGGCTGCCTGGTGTTGGTGGTGTGTGCCCTCAAGTGCCTGCGCAGTGCCTTCAACGACCCTTCACAGCACTTCCTCGTGCTGCTCTTCACGGTGCTGTTTTTCACCTACGACTACCGGGGACCCAACGAACCATTTCTCATCAACTACTTCTGCTGTTTGTTCATCTTCTCCAAGGTGCGAATTTGACTCTGTAAATTTATGAAATGTAGGCTGCTGCTGATGATGATGACATGGACTTTCTCAAAATACAGTAGAGCTCCTCTAATATATATTTCATGATATTTTGAAACAAAAATGCTTGCTCTCAAACACTTGAGTGACCTTATGGCATTCCACATTGCTAAACTCATTGGGGACATTGCATGAATGTTGCAGGAGCAATGCAAGATCGTTAAATGTTGCTGGAACATTACTTGAATGTTGCAGGAATGTTGCTGATACGTTGCAAGATTGACATGTCAAAAGGGGGTTTAGATACATAGTTGTTCGGATATTCTTTGCTGGGATCAAATACCAGATGCGCCACACCCACAAAAGTGTATACATGGGGAATGCATAAGTGGGGTGCCACACTCTATTTACTGGATTGTCTTGTGTGCCCAAGGCCTGCAGCAAACAGGAAGCTTAACTGTGTGTTTCCTGCCTTCGCAGGTGTACGAGTTGCTGCTCAAGATTAGCTTCATCATCACATACATTGCCCCCTGGCAGATTACATGGGGATCAGCATTCCATGCTTTCGCGCAGCCCTTCAGCGTCCCACGTATCCTTTGAAGGTTTCATTTTACAACTTTTGCCTGCAAAAACTTACACGTGTTTTTATGGATGGTAGATGGACCATATCCAGATCGCCTGAAGCTTTAATCTGTGTTGATTAGTCTTCCAGTAGAGATGTGAAAGATAGCTGCAAGCCGGTAGTGTGAACATGCAAATACCTCGGCACTTCTTGGGAGGATGTCACAAAGAGCACTGATGACGATGCAGACTATCTTATTGCGCGGTCATCCTGCAGTAAGAGGGGAAAAAGTTTCCAGCAAGCTTAGATGCAAGTTTAAGAACTATGCGTGGTCAAAGTGTGGCCCATTTCGTGATTGTTTCACGACTCCACTGTAACTGCTGAGTGTGGGAGATGATTTAGACTTCAAACTTTTGGTTAGAGTCTAAGTCACCTCTCAGTTTCATACCCAACCAAACAGACTTCGGTTGAACGTCTGTATTCAACTGCTGAGTGTGCCTTTGGTGACAGTAGTCACATAACCCAGACAAGGAAGCACATTGTGTTGGTACTATCACAAACTTGCTCAGTCCTTGACATCAAAAGGCTGGGAAGCAGGTGAAATGATTTTACAATTAGTGTTTCAGGTTGTACATATGCACCCTCTTAAATCCCTCTAAAATTTATGTTGAAAATGTGCAGTGGCATTATATTCTGCATTCTTCCGAGTGTTTCCTTGAATCCAAGGGTGGCAAAGAAACTGCCAAAGCCTAGTGTCATCATAGTGCTGACTGGGCTGTTCTGTATGTTCTCCAATGAGTCTAATAAGTTTAATTTAAGCATAAATAAGGTTCAATGCTCTTTCGTTTGCCTTAACCACCCCACCTCCTCAGACTCGGCCATGCTTTTCGTGCAAGCCATCATCTCGGCGATCTTATCGACACCACTAAGCCCCGTCCTTGGTAGCGCCATATTTTTCACCTCGTACGTCAGGCCTGTCAAATTCTGGGAACGGGACTACAAGTGAGTGAGAAAGCATTGTTTGCTCATCTTTTTTGGCTTCTCATACTAATCCTCGTAAACTAATAAAGTGTACCGCTGTTTTAATTCTTATGCACAATCTTGTATCTCTTGCTTTTGCTACAGCACGAAGAGAGTGGACCACTCCAACACTCGGTTGTCATCACAGCTGGAACGAAATCCAGGTAAGGAGTTTACCTCACCCTGACAAACACCTGTTTGTTTCTTGAAGCTACGAAGAAAACTTGGAGGACACTGGAGCTTGGCTTTCAAGGGTAGAACACAATAGCATAATCTGGCTTTGTGTACTTCGCTTTCGTAGATGTATCTTGCCGGTACATACTTAGCTATGTAGCAGAAACCTGGAGACTTACAAAGAGGGTTCAGCTTAAATTGAGGACCACGCAGTGAGCAATGAAAAGAAAAATGGTTGGTTAAACCTTAAAAGACAAGAAGAGAGCAGAGTGGATTAGGGAAACAAACGAGGGTTAAGGATATCATAGTTGAAATCAAGAAGAGGAAATGGACATGGACCGGGCATGTAGCGTGTAGACACGATAACGGCTGGTGATTGAGGGTAATTAACTGGATTCCCAGAGAAGGCAAGCGGGTTAGGAGGAGACAGAAGGTTAGGTGGGCAGATGAGATTAAGAAGTTTGCGGGTATAAATTCGCAGCAGCAAGCACAGGACCGAGTTAACTGGCGGAACATGGGAGAGGCCTTTGTCCTGCATGGCTCTTTCTAACTTCTAGAATGCCTACTCCAAGCAGAGTTGTTAAATGCATACAACGCCATAATTCCTCATTTTGTCAGTCAGCGAAGGGCCTACTGCATGTGATGCAGAACAATCGATGGTACTCACTATCAAAATATTGATTGTACAAAAACAATTGATAGCGCTATCGATAATAAGTTGGCTAGTTCTACCAACTGTATAAGTTCAAGTGTGCGAACTCATTGCAGCGTTGTCCGTGGGGCGGGAGGAGCCGACTGAAGGGGAAAAAAGTTGACATGTTCGCTCTCCTTCACCAAAATTGTTGGCAGATATATCACAATTAAGTTCAAATATTCATTTGTACAGGAAACGGTATCGTTACACTTAACGGTGCTGTACGGCTTCAGATTTATATTTCCACCTAGGATATGAAAATAAAGATTGACAGTGTTTTTAGTCAATGCTTAGTCCTGTATGTATATTCTTTGTCTTCGGTGTTTTCTGCATTGTTTAGCAGTCATGAAGCCACTCCGGCAAGCTTATTGCCCGACCGTTGTAAAAGGCTGAGCTCACTGGCCGTTTGCCACACTTCCACTTTTTTTACAGGCTCGGATGACAATAATCTCAACTCAATCTTCTACGAGCATCTGACGCGGTCCCTGCAGCAGTCGCTGTACGGAGACCTCGCACTCGGACGGTGGGGCAACGTGACGCAGGGCGACTGCTTTGTGCTAGCCTCAGACAACCTCAACTGCCTGCTGCACATCATTGAGCTTGCCAATGGGCTCGTGACGTTCCAGCTCAGGGGCCTCGAGTTCAGAGGTACGTGGAGTGTGTTAGACCCCTGCCAGGAAAATGGAAGACTGGGGTATATGATGTTGTTCCATAACCGTTTCCGACCCAGCAGCCAGTGTACTGGACAAGACAAAAAAAAAAGTGACGCAGAAAAGTAAGGAATAGCTCGAAACGGAACAGTACACACTTTGTTTGGTTCTGTAACAGTCGAGCAATGTGTTTTAAAATAGAGTTTTTCCTTTATCTCCACTTTTTTGTGGGGGTGCCTTATAGTAATGGTGTCATCCATGCGAAAACGTGCGCACACAATCTGGTTAAATACAAAAAATGATTGTTGAAGCTATCTTCATGCAATTCAAATGATTTAAATAGGACGAGTTGTCTTATATCCTTCTGAAACATTGATGTAAAAAGGTAGCTTTTGTAATCAAAAGTTCATTGGCAATGCAAGAATGTAAGAGCCTTCTTGTCTCCAGGATGAGGGAAATTGGCAACGGCAGCCAACTTCTCCAGATCTGGTCGAACACCCCCCGGGCTCACCACAGGGCCGAGAAACTTGAGCTCCTGATAGCCAAAGTAGCAACTTTCGGGCTTGATAGTAAGGTTTGCTCTCTTTATTGCAGTGAGGACACTTTTTAGCCTTGAAAGATGTTCGTCAAATGTTCTTGAAAACACAACGACATCATCCAAGTATGCAAGATACGTCTGCCACTTAGTCCAGCAAGTACAGTGTCCATCATGCGTTGAAATGTGGCGGAAGCGAAACAGAGACCGAAAGGCAGCACTTTAAATTCATAGAGCCCGTCGGTAGTCACGAACACGGTTTTTTCTAGGTCGCCCTCGTCAACTTCAATTTTCCAGTACCCTGACTTGAGATCTAATTATGTAAAGAACTGGGCATGGTGTAGACGATCTAAGGCGTCATCAATTTGTGGCAGGGGGTAAACGTCACATTTTGTGACTTTGTTGAGCTGTCGGTAGTCGATGCACTTGCGTAGTGTGTTGTCTCTTTTCTTTACTAGGACAACAGGTGATGCCCACGGACTGGTCGAGGGTCGAATGACGTCACCATTCAGCACTTCTTGTACTTGATGCTTAATCACCTCTCTTTCCTTCGGGTACACACGGTATGGATAATGGCGAAGAGGCCGCGCCGACTCCTCGGTAACAATGTGGTGTTTTATAACGGTAGTACGTTGAACTTTAGCTGCTGTGGAGAAGCATTCCAAGAATTCCGTTACAAGGTTCAGCAGCCGCTCTTTTCATGAATCTGGCAAGTCTGGATTAACGTGAATGCGGCTGCCCAGGGCAGCACAAGGTTTTGCATGTGGTGAAGTCATATCCAATGTGCCGATATCGGAAAAGTTGGCGATTTCAGTGAGGAAAGCGACAGTGGTGCCTCTAGGGACATGCTGAAACTCATTGCTGAAGTTGGTCAGCAGGACTCGAGAGGGTTTATTTTCTAAACGAACAAGGCATCGGACTATGCAGATGTTTCGTTTGAGCAGCAGCGGGATATTGGCCTCTGCAATACCTTCATAGTCATTGAATTCATCGAAAACGTCACAGGTTACCAAGGTCAACACACTACTCTTCGGCGGTAACGTGACGTCATCGTCAACAATTCTCAAAGCAATGACGTAACTGTCGTGAGGGTTGCGCACTAAAGCGTGGGCCATAGAACACGTCACCTGCGACTCTTGCTAGCCAATCACGGCTCCGTTATCATGCAGAAAGTCCAGTCCGAGAATTAGGTTCCCCGAGCAACTGGGCAGTATTACAAATTCTCCGAGACACATAAATCCGTGAATACTGACTCACGCTGTGCACCGTCCTACTGCAGTGAGAAGATAGCCTCCTGCCGTACGTATCTGCGACCCAGCCCACTGGGTAGAAACCTTCTTCAGCCTGCAGGCAAGACCCATGCTCATAATGGAAGTGTCTGCTCCAGTGTCGATTAGCGCCATTACTCTTCGTCGTCCACGGTTACCGCAATGTTCAATGTCATCACTCTTCGTACCACGTTTGACTGCGTCTGTACATCTTTTTGCTGCCGTCGCTGTCGTCGTAGTGGAGGATCCTCTGTAGAGTCAGCGTCAGCGGCCTCACTTCCGGAGGTCGCTGAACTCAGTTTTCCCGACTTGCAGGACTGGGTGAACGCCGTCTCGGAGCGCCGCGTGAATTGGCTGGGCTCAGTGACCTGTAGCGAGCAGGCGACGACGAGCGAGGCTTGTGTGACAGATATTCGATACTGCGACGATTCGAGATGAGGCTCTCTATTTCCAGTGGTCGCTCGCCAGGTCGTGGACGAGGGGCATTAGGCGAAAATCCACGGAGACCTACACGGCGGTATGGGCATGTTCGGTAGACGTGTCCGGCATCCCCGCAGTAGAAACAAAGGGGTCTGTGGTCTGGTGTACGAAAGATGTCATTCTTCCTTGGTCGTGCTTCAGCGATCAACGACGGGCTGCGAGGATGAAAGCCTACCTCTATTTGCTGAGTGTGTCGCTCATTGGGGTAAAACACGCTGGGTGAACTGCACGATGGAGGACGCCGCACTGCTTCCGCGTAGCTCATTTCGACACAGTGCCTCTGTTGTGGTACCTCGGACTGTTGGGGAGCATGAACGGCTTGCCGTAGCTCGGCGCGTACCATTTCCGCAATGGAGAGCTGCTCTACAGGTGAAGCAGTCACCTGCATCTTTTGTAGCTCCTGCTTGCTGAGAGCTCTGATGAGCTCTCACAACGGGCTGATGTCATTGCCGAGAGTGACAGAAGTGACCTCACTTGGATGTATACCCCGGTTATACTGCCTGGCACGCTGTTGAAGGGCCCTCTCCATGGCAGTGGCTTCCTCATAAAACTCCGCAAGTGTCGCAGGCGGGTTTCGAATCAGGCCGGCAAAAATCTCTTCTTTAACACCACGCATTAGGTGACGAACTTTCTTGGATTCGGTCATAGAGGGCTCCGCACGCCTGAAAAGCCGATCCATGTCCTCTATGTACGTCCTCACTCTTTCGTTTAGGGCCTTGAACCCTTGCCTCTATAGCACGTTCTGCTGTCTCTTTCCTGTCCTCTCGGGCAAAGGCCTTGAGGAACTGCCGGTGGAACTCATCCCATGACATAAGCGTTGCTTCATGGTTCTCAAACCACGTTTTCGCGGAGTTCTCGAGAAAGCAGTACACATAGCGTAGCTTACGTTCTGGGGTCCAATGGTTGATGACGACGACCCGGTCGAAATGCTCGAGCCAGTCGTTGGCATCTTGAAAAGCAGCTCCGTGAAACGTCTTCGGCGTCTTGGGCTGGTTGACAACCAGGTGCGCTGGTGCTGGCGCAGGTGACATTAGGTGATGGTTAATTCATAGTCCTCTGACGTTTAGGCAGCAAACCATGCTGTGGCTCAGGTCCCTGGAGACGACGGCTGGAAGGTATGTGCACAGGGGTAAGCTCGGCTGAGCTACTCGATGGGCTTGCGTCAGGGGTGCTCTCTGGCAACCGTATTACCTACCGTACCCCGCACCTCCACCAGAAAATGTCACAAAGGCACAGGGATGCAGGCACAGAAACAGGGCGCTTACTTTCGTAACCAAAGGCCAAAAGCACAAACACCAGAGCACGCGCCCACAGAACTACTTCGTTATCCTCCTCAGAGGCTGGCCACTATAGTTGCCAGCCTACCTTGCGTCAATATTGGAGGGAAAGAACAAGAGGCGGCATCACATGACAGTCTTGAAGCCCAGCCATAAAAAATGAAACTTGGGCATGCTGGGAAATTTGTCAAAAGCAGGAAAAATGGAAGGGAGCGGTGTATGATGAAGTGGGCTTGTGGATGCTAGGCATGCTACCTTCTAGGCATTTCTTTTCTTTTGTTGTGCTGAATGCTATTGCTATGTGCATTAGCCAACCATGAGAACCTTTTTCTCGTATCAAAGCAAACATTGCTTATGTTTTATGAGACAAATAATCTTCTGACAGCCTAAAGCAGCACTCTTTTAAGGAAGATAGCAGAGTGTGTTTCCCCACTTGTGCAAAAATTGAATCCCAGGGTCCAGTACACTGGACATGGCTATTCTGCAAAAGCTGCCGAACTTACATTGTTCATTTTTTGCATGCTTTCTAATAGCTTTTTCGCTAGAAAAGAACCCTAAAATTTTTATGCCGCCCTAGGAAAAATTCGGGTAGAAAAGTGATAGCGGCTGAGAGTATGACAAGCACATTCGCAAGGCAAAGAAAATGGACGCTACCAGGTGCTGACTTTCAGCTGAAGTTTCTTGGTAGACCCACACATAATATAATGTGTAAAAACATCACCAAATGCAGCTCAGATGAACACAGTAGACTATCAATACACTCAAACCTCAATATAAGGAGAAAAAGTCATAGATTTGTCGCAAAGGTGAAACAATGAACGCAGTATCAACAAATTGGAAGGTCACGTGCAGATTTGCAAGCAGATCGAAACGTGCTCTGCATTTCTCATGCACAAATGATGCATGAAGCGTGCTGACAGGTACAGATGAAAGCGAATAAGCGTCTCGGTTGTTACTTCGCTGTGTCTGAAAGGCATGTCTTTTTAGCTAACGAAGACTGTGCAACGATTGCAGTGACCTCTGTGCGTCTGGTAACTACAACAGAATCATTTTACTGAAAGCCCAAAGCTAGCCAAGAAGTACAATCCTCACCACCACGAGATAAGGGCATACAAGTTAACGTACGTCCACCCCCTCCTCTCCGCCATGCAAAGTACACGTGGGAGATGTGAGCGTGCGCCGCCCCATTGTGACGATGTGGCGAAGCGTGCTCATTGCGCTATTTTGATGGTAATGCTCAAAACACGATAGTTCCCCCCGAGATGCCCGTCAACAGTGGTAAGTGGTAGATACAAATAGCTCGCCGTTTGAACGTTGAAGGAAGTGCTTCTCCGTGGCTCTGTGGTCAACGCCTCGCCCTCACGATTTAGAGGTCGCATGTTCGATTCCGTTCGCCGGGTCATTTTCTGGATTATTTTTCTTTCTTGCCATGACATATGTATAGATACGTATTATAGGGGTTACTTGGTAACGAACAGATCCGCGCGTGCGAAGCTGTCCCTTCTTTGAATCGCACCATGCGCCAGGGGAGCGTTAGTCACTCGTTACTAGCACTACGCAGCAGCCCTATCAGTCAGAGCTGAACCCTTAAATCGTGGTTCGCAGTGAGTTGCGATCACGGCGGGTTTCAGGCCAGTGGTAACAGAGATGAGTTTATGCCTGACACTGTTTATCCAAGCGTCAAGCGCCACAAACACAACAAATACAGAAAAAAAAAAGACGAGGTGGCGGATCAGTTCCACACGACAGTGTAGAGAAAGGTTACCAAATGCAAAGCGCACGAAAGAGAGAATGATAAGGCTCGCACTCACCACTCGTGGCTTATGACTCCTGCCCTGGGCCGATAGGTCACCCACAAAGAACCGGGCGGTGCGCAGGAAGTGATGGCAGCTAAGTCGCTCCCAACTCGATCGAGCTGTGTTCGTCACGGCTCTTCAAGTCGAAAGACCATGAGCCCCCCAAGAAAGCAACGCACGTTCCTGGGGTCTGGAGAGGAGTCTCCCCAGAAAAGGGCAAAGAGAGAAACTGGGCATCCCGGCTTCAGCCCAGGAGCAGGGCGCGAAAGGCTATGGGAGCGGCACAGTGCCGCCTCCCCCGCAACCTTCTCGCCCCTACCCGCGAAACGTAGCGTAAAGCCGGGGCGCTGCCGCGGTTAGACCAAAGGGGTTGCACAAGCAACCCCACATTTCAAGTGTTTGCGAAGTGTTGCTTGCGTCATTTTACTGTACTCTTTGTTTTAGCTCGGTACACCTGAACCGCTTTCACAAATTGCTTGAGCATATTCCTTGTAGGCGCAAATTATTGTGCACGTTCTACAAATGCGTCAAGTTGACATGACATGATTCGAAGGCATTCTGTATTCAAGGAAGTAATGTTCTGTGCGAGTTTCACTAATGTTAATCGGCAAGTAATTAAGCATTTATTTTTTCTGCAATTAATTGGCTTCAATTCTTGCTCAAAAATGTGTGCGTTTTGTTTTTTGCTTATGTTCATTTTGAGCGAAAGAAAAGAATACTGTTGACATTGGTTCAGGAACACTGCTTATTGAACGTTCGTCGAACGTGGTAGCGTCTCCAGCAAAGTGATTCTCTGCAGCACTAGGCAGCAGAATAAAGTTAAATGACTTCGAGTAGTCATTCGAAAAAGCCTGTACTAATGTGCACACTGTGTTTCAAGCCATTCGAAGAAACACACACTGTGCGATTCAATTCCAAAGTTTATGTCTACAATTGTACGCGTGGCCGCTAGGAATATGGGAAAACAGCTTTGCTTCCGCTTTCTGGCAAACAGGCACCTACTGCCAGCAGCGCGAGGTAGAGGCCATCTCGGAGGGCGTCGAGGAGGATGAAGGCTGCTGCTGCTGCGAGCCGGGCCGGCTTCCGCACTTGCTGTCGGCCAACGCGGCCTTCGGCCAGCGCTGGCTCGCCTGGCAGGTGGCAGCTGCCCGTTACGTTCTCGAGGGCTACTCCATCTCGGACAACTCGGCTGTCTCCATGTTGCAGGTGTTCGAGCTGCGCAAGGCACTCGTTACCTATTACGTCAAGGTATGGTTGTCACTGTCTACTCGTCATTGTTTCAAGTGCGTGACAGCTTACGATCTTTATGTCACCGTGACTCTAAATTTGTTGTGAAAAAGCATGGCGCATGCCTCTTGATTTTTAATTGGAAATAAATGGCAGACTTAACATGTTCTAACGTGTTTAGGAAGCTTCATTGAACCTAGGTTGCCAAAATATGACAGCATGCTATGAAATTTGTGATGTCACATTTACACTCATGTAAGAAATATGAAACATTGACTGTCACTTTGTTTTCTTTTAATAAACCTATCTTAATGAATGAAAGACCAGCCTTTGAAGAATAATACAGCTAAACCTGCCGATAACAAACCTCTATATAACGAATTCCTCGATATAACAAAGTTTTTCTATTCCCCGCCGTTGCTCCATAGAAGCACATGTATTTGCGACCTCTATGTAACAAAGTAACAGTGGAAGACAACTTTGATATAATAAATTTTCCCCACGAACAATCTAGGAATTTTATTCCGCATTTTCGCACGAGCATGCATGTCCCGTGACTTCTCCGCTGCTTACGAAGCGTGAAGCGGCAGCGGCGCGCACGGTGCACAAGGCGAAAGCAATGGCTCTTTATTGGGTGCGGGTGGGTGAGCGCGAGGCGGGCCTGCACCCCATGAGTCGGAGTGCGTGGGAGTGTGCCCCCCTCCCCCACTCCGAACCAATAAAAAAAAAAAAAAAAAAACTACTTTTGCGCGTTTGCAGTGCTACGCTTTTAGTCAGCGTCACATATGCGGGGCCGCGCTGCACATGAAGGATGCTTTACTGAACAGTTTTCCGCGGTGTCCGTGTCGTTCGCTCTTCGTTTTCGACGCTGTGGGTGCGTGCATAGTTTCACTGCGTGCGCACGGTGCAGCCCCCGATGATGTTCAGCATTGCTTTCTTTTATTATTGTGATAGCAATTATATGGACAGTCTCGGCTGGTTTTTTGCCATCGTTTTTGCTGCCATTCACATATATATGAAAACTCAAGGGAAAAAAAAGCCGCCCGCGCTTGGTGCCCAGTTCATCACGATGCGGCGACGCGCGCTTATCTCCCACGCGTACTTTGCCCCGCGGTGGGGGGGGGGTTAGATGCTTGTGCGCACGCGCTAATCCTTTGGTGAAGAGAATCGCGCACCTTCCACTTTGACTATAACGATTGCGTTTAGTTGCCGGGCGCATAAAGATCACTTTGCTCGCAGGACAGGCACCGTTTGCGAAAAGAGCCTGCTTTTCAAACACAGCAAAGTAACAACTGGGGCACATTGTTGGTTCGCACTCATATCTGTACCTGTGATTACTTTTTGTGCCTCGTTTTTGCTCAAACAGCGCGTTAAGTGTCAAGCGGTAAACATTGTTTGTTCGCTCTTGTCCTGTATATGTTGTTTTCGTGCGTCATTTGTGCATGAGGAGCGCACTGCCCGTTTCAATCTGCTTGCCATTCTCAGCGTTAATTCCAAGTTTTTGCTATCGCATTGCTTCGCCCTTGCAGGGAAACTGTGACTTTTGTTAATTTCGGACAATTGTGTCAACATTCCCGAGGGGATGCCAGATTAGGCGTTGATGGAAACTCTCTAAGACTATGGTGACGACCGATATTCGGAAGTCGACTCGCCACGCGCTTCCGTCTTGCGCCTCGAGTTTGCAGGCTGGTAGCTTTCGTAATTAGGTGATTAGTTTTGGCAACAACACGACGGCGGGTTGAATGGAATGCAATGAACGCGATAGCAAAAAATTGTAATGTTATAAGAAGTCGAGTGGAACAAACTAACTAATGCAATTGTTTCAGCACCCTCATTGGCATTGTTTTCCTCGAAATTAGAAAGTGCACTAACCAGTTGAATTGTTGAATCGTATTACATACCACTGTACATGCTTGTATAATTGTAGTCTTCTATTTTTTATTGTATGATATTGCCAGTTGAAGTTTGTATTTGCCCTATAACCTGTATTTATAACCTGTATTGTATTTGTATAACCTGTATATATTATATGACATTGTACTTGCCATTTGTTCATGACTAACTTCATGTACCACCCTACTAAAATCACCAAAGGTGATTGCAGTATCTGTAAATAAATAAATAAATAAATAAGTAAGGCTGGCAGGCAACTCTTTTGGATCGGATATCGCAGAACTCCTACAAAACGCTGGTGTGAGCAAATACGGCTGCTCCAGGGAGAAGTGCTCTTTTCACACAGTTCCTTCGCGTTAAAACTGCACTGATACTGGGCGAGATAGCAAGTGCACCAGCGATCGCGACCGCCCTTAAAATCGAAGTTCACTAATACTACTCGAGCGATTCCCCTCCACCTTCCCCGCGTTGTTTCATGCTCGTTCAAGACGAGTGATTTACTTTCTGTTTGAACATTCGAGGGCAGTTCTAACACGCGGGAGATGCCATCTTATGCACTTTCCAGGCGATAGGGATGGACCCACTCATTTGATCTCTGCTTCAGCAGCGCTCGCGCGCTTTTACCCGCTCGCAAAAGTTACGATGCGCGGGGGCGTGTTATCAATATGTACTTGTTATGGAACATGGCGGCGATGGCGAGAACCTGCCGAGAGCGTTCATATAACTGGCATCGCAATAATAACGCAGTTTTTTTACTGTAAAATGAGTGTTTTGTTTTAGCTCTGCCTTCAGTCCCCTTTTTGTTTAATTTGTGCATTTATTTTCCGAATTTTTGTACCAAACCTGCGTATAACGAGATCCTCTTTATAACAAATTTTTCGGGAATTTATCAGTTTCGGTATATCCAGGTTTAACTGTATATCAGTTCAAATCTATTCACATTTGCACTTTAGTTCTTTACACGTGGTAAGCAAATTCCAAAGTTGTATTATAAAGAGTTCTGCACTACTTTTGTGTTACAAGTGCTCTGACCATTAGTGTGCACAATAAATATTCTTATATAGGTAAAGAAATTGTTAAATATTTCTACCTAGCCACATGATGTCTTTTTGAATCAGTGTCAAATATGGTTCAGTCAACACTTACCGTTTTAATGGTACTTTTGTTTCACATTGTAACAAGGTGCTTAGCCACTGCAAACTTCTACACTATACTTGCCTTAAAAAAGTGTATCATTGCGCTTAAGATACATTTGCATAACATTTGAATACCGTATTTACTCGCATAATAGGCGCACTTTTTTTTCAGAAAATCCGGCTCGAAGTTAGGGGTGCGCCAATTACGCAGGGTAAAATTTTCGAAAATTTTTTCAACTCGGTTCTCGCGCTTTAAATCTGCACACTTGTCAAGTAAAAGGCGACTTTATCATTTACCAATTAATTCAGCATAAAACAAACATACCTACGTACCTTTTAATGAACAAGCGAGAGCCGTCAACTGCACACACACACGTAAAATTTATTTACACAAAAGTCGTAGTTGTTCCTCCTTTTCCCTATTCGGAGTGCGAGTCGGAGATCACACATTCATCCTCGCCGAGCGGGGATTCGTTTTCGGTGTCCGAATCATCCGCACCCCACAACATGTCATCCTTCTGATACCTGCCGGTCTTGGCACCGCGGAAAGCCCGTCGTGTCTTCTTCGTCGCCTTAAGTTTTTCTTCTTGGTCCCTCCAGTACTGAATACTGGTTTCTACAACGCCGAAATGCCTGCTTGCAGCCCGGTTGCCGTGCTCCAGCGCGTACTGCACTGCCTTCAGTTTAAACCCAGCCGTGTAGCTCGCGTACTTCCCCATGGTGGAACCAAAGTTCAATACACGACCACAACATACGCACACCACTTGCAAAATGGCGTTTCTTTCTTTTTCTCTGATGGTGGTGATGGCGATCGAGCCCCCGGCGTTGTACACGTGACCTCCAAAAAGCGCGGCGATTTGGGGGGTATCAGTAATTGATGGAACAGCCGTTTTTTTTTTTTTCGCTCATGGACGCTTTTTTTTTTCAAGTTTTATTTCGACAAACACGTTGGTTAGGTCGTTGCACTTCGAATTTTTTTTATTTGCTCGTCGATTTGCCTTCTTTTTTTCTTCAGGGTACGGGGACCGCGTTCCAACTGTACCGCTGGGGGCTAGAATTGTTTCTGATCACGGCCAAGTTCGGGGTGGGCCTATTATGCGCGGAATTAAAAAAAAATCGAATTTTCTGCGACCAAACTAGGGGTGCGCCTATTATGCGAGTGCACCGATTATGCGAGTAAATACGGTATATACATCATGCACGTTATAGAGCAGGTAATCAGTAATAATCGAGAGTTCATCTACAGTGTGCTTCATAATTAGACAATAATAGATGGCTTGCATGCGACGTCATGAATGCAGCTTCTGAGAGGAGCTGGGACCCCAGGATGGCGGCTTCGATAGCAAAAAAGTTCCATTTATGTGAAGATCATGTAGCCAAAACGTCCGTGTGCGTAATTAATAAAAAAAACTGCATGGGACCTTTTGATAATACTTATGTGACAGGGGAAACGCCACATCCCTACAAGCTGGTGCTCCAGCTCGGCGCTTTCGCTAACATCAGTGCAAGCCATCTTTAAGGCAGATGTTGGGGTGAAGATAAAGGCCTAAAGTGATGACGCATCGTTAAAATGGCAGTGTTGTTAGACTGTCGGGCTGGGGACATTCCAGTCACATTCATCGCTGTACTGTGGGTTTGACTGCCAATGTGCCAAAATTTAATTTTTTCACAGGCCATTGTCTACTACACGGTCACCTCTTGTCATCTGGAAGAGTGGCTGGCCCTGCCAACGGTCAGGGACGCGCTGCACCCAACTTTAGACAGGAACTACACGGATGTGGACCCAGTGTTCAACATGAACATCGACGAAGACTACGATTATCGAGCCTCAGGAATATCGCGCAGCTCCTTCTGCAACGTCTACCTCGACTGGCTGCAGTTCTGTGTTGCCCGCTCGGGAAAGGTCAGAACCCACTATAAACTGTGTCGCGCCTAGAGGTCCCCTGAATTACCTTTAACAAATTCGAAGAACAGGCGTGATGTTCACTCCTAACATTTTCCGTCTTTTTCGAACAATTCGTGATGCCAGTACTCTGTTCACATGATATCACGAGAAAGTAAGACCTCGATTGGGCCACATACAAGGAATATCCAGTGGCATGCAGTGATGGCTCACTTAAATAATCAGTTAGTTTTAGTTAATGTAGTACACCTTATTTTTTGTGAGGTGTCAAGTGCTTGCTCATGTAGACTGTGCTTTCAGGTTAAAAACATTCTGCTCTACTTGTCAAACATCTGAACCCAAGTGTGTACATTTCTGCAGTGCCCTTCTGTAATTATCTAGTTTTAAAGGGCTTATCTGATGTAAACAAAACCTTTTATTTTCATTAGATCAGCCTCTAACTAAGATCAGTCTTCCTGTCAAAATTTCAACCTGTGACGTTTCCTGTAGAGCTGATTTTTTGTTACACAACCATCAGTGTAGCAAACTGATTTGCAGGGTAACGAGCTTGTACAAAAATTATATCATAGCAACAGAAGTTGAAGAATGTTGAAGTAATACAATATCTTTGAACAGATAGAATTAAATTTCTTGCCCAAGGCAAGAAATTTTAAAACAGAAAATGTCATGTTGCTCCAGCAACATTCTTTTTACAACATTCTTGCATGACAAAACCGTCCTTGTGACAAACTTTCTAGCAGGCGAGTCTGCTTTTGCTATAGTTACCCTATTTTCTTGCATAAAACCCACGCCAAGATATAAAAAAATGTGCTTAAAAAAGTGTTCATGGGAGTCATTGTAGCGTTTATATGCATACATTTTTTCCCATTTCTGTATAGTTTAAAGTTGAGGCTGGTAGTTATATGCAGAGGTGTCGGTTATAAGCAAGAAAATACAGTATATCGTAATTTTTCATAATAGTTTTGTAACGAGACAGAGGTAAATAGGGAGATGGAAGAGGCTTGAAGTTGTGAAAAGTTGTTGAATAAAGATTGTTGATGGAATGTTGCTCCAGCAACATTTCTTGTAGAATGACTTTCTGTTATAGTACCATCAGTATAAGAGAGTGATATGTAGGAAAGCATACTGTTACCATAATTCATCATAATTTTTCATAATTATGTCATAACAAGACAGAAGTTGGGAGGAAGACTGAAACTTGAAGTGATGGGAAGTCTGTGAAGAGTAAATGTTGCTGAAAAGGAGGACACCACTGATCAGGGAAGCCGGGAATGTATCTGGAATTTCTCGTGGAACGACTTTTGCAGCAGTATCAGCTAGACATACAAACTTGCAGGACAGTGTTCTTTTACAAACAAGAAACGGTGTGTCGGGGCATGGTAGTTGGTTCATAGAAATGTTGAAGGAAGATTACTTTTTCATTCCTTTTTCTTTTTTCCAGAACCTCGAGCATGACCGAAACTCTTTGGTCGTGTCTCTGTGCTTCTCGCTCAGCCTTTTGGCACGGCGCGCCTTGGGCACTGCATCTCACAACTCGTTCTCAAGGTCAGGGACTGTTTGTTCATTTCGAAATGACTTACATGATCCAGATGTCTCTTGATGCGATGTACAATGTTACTGTAATGGCGAGATAATCATCATGGTGAGTAATGTGAATGAGCCAAAAACTTGAGTTTTCTGCAAAAAACCAAGCGTGACAACAGTAGCTTTAGATGTTAACCGAGGCACCAGTATTGTGTTGTAGTTGCTGTTAAAGAAAATTTCTCACCAATCTTTGCAACCATGTGCTCGTGGCTGGGCATGCAGTGACCGATGTTTGCCTTTGTTTCAGCAGCGTGGACCTCTTGCTGTACGGCCTGCATGCTCTATTCAAGGGCGACTTCCGCATCACCTGTGTTCGGGACGAGTGGGTTTTCCAGGACATGGAACTCCTCCGTCGAGTGGTCGCACCCAGTGTGCGCATGGCACTCAAGTTGCATCAGGTATGATAAACTACCCCACACCGAGGTGTTATTGTAGAGACGCACTTTTTTTTAAACCCCCCGCCCCCCCAAACAAGCTCGTTAATACATACTGTATTGCATGGCGATTACAATTTCCTAATAGTACAGTGCCATGGTGTTGCGCAGATCCTCAGTTTTGAAAAACAATTCTTGCACCTCGTTTCTTTGCCTGACTGATTGGAAACTAGCTGAAACAGTTGTTCGAACTCCTGTAGCTTCCTTATCATCGTACATATTTTTTAAAAACCTTGTGGCAGCATGTTCGCATAGCAGAATCGCACATATTTTCATTCATTATATTTTTAGAACCTCGTGTTTGTTTACTTGCCTTTTAATGTCTGGATTTGTCTCTGAGCATAGGGGGCTCAGTGGGAAGATCTTAGAATGTAGATATGTTCATGTACAAAATGGAGCATTTACAGTGCTTAACAGGATTAAGCAAGCTTTTTCTAACATTAAATATTTGGTTTCAATTCCAAGCTGGAGCAACCTATGTTTTTACTCATCTTGCATCCCTTTGCCTCACAACTTGGCAATTTCAATAACTTCTTTATTTCTTTTAATCATGATTAAAATTATTTGCTCATTTTCTCTGCATCACGAGGTCAGGCTTTTGTGGAGGGTCTTGGGATGGAGAAATTTTTATTCAGTTACACACTTACCTAAGCCAATTGTGTTTAAATGCTGTGCAGGATCACTTCCTCTCTGCTGAGTATGATGACCACGCTACGCTTTACGACGCCATTAGCAACTACGAAAAGAACCTGGTCATCTCCCACGAAGCCGACCCAGCCTGGCGCAACGCTGTGCTGTCGAGCGTCCCGTCGCTTCTGGCTCTGAAGGTGAGTGGGCCGTGTGTAACGCTGTTTTTCCCGCGCATAACCCGTCCCTGCGTGTGACTGGCACTCCCCATGTACAGAGTACAGAAATGAAGACGAGAAAAAAAATTGTGTAACGAAGTTGAGGTTGGTGCGATTAAAGTGCGTGAAACTCTGCTATTTATGCTTTTTGGTGGATGAAATAGGCGACGGTTCAAAGTTTATGATGGTAAACAAGAATGACGCAAACGAAATGCCTCTAACAACTTGTTTTTAATGAAACAAAAAGACAAAGAAAATGGATGGGCAAAGACATGGTAGGAGAGGGTATTGTGTGAAAACCACGCATGGGAAAACATAAATGCTAGCAATGGTAAAAGCGCTTGCATTTTCCTTCTTACAACTTTGCGTTACCGAAATTTCATATCAAAATCCTTGATTAAACCTGTAGTGATATAATTTATGTTTGTCTGCCTAGAAATGCCACTTGCCTGTCAGTAAAGGCAGTGTACGAAGAGCTCATGCATGTAACCAGCCTCTTCAACGGCACACTGCTGAAATGGTTTCCACATAATGCCTACCTCTTTTTTGTCTTCTCATTTCACTAAATTAGTTGTTAAATGCACATCACCTGTGTCAGTTGTCTGCCATCATTGTAAACTTTACAATACTGCCTTTTTTATTCATTCAAAGCAAGCATTGTTTTGGCAGATGGGCAACCTAGAAACAAACTTCAAAGTGTTTGATAGGTGGCCGCAAAAGTTTACAGTAAAAGCTCCTTAATTTCAATTACATGGGGACACTGAGAACTTTAAAAAACAAAATTTGAAATAATGAAAGTGAGCAAAGTGGGTAGATATAGGGAGAGGAGGGGAACGAACAATATTTATTGGCTAGAAAAGTCTGTAATGACCATCTACTTCTTTTCTCTGAATGCCACAGCTGCGGCTCTCAGTTCTAGCGTGTAGCCATGGCACTGGGAATCCTCTTCATCCTTTTTCAAAGCTGAAAAAGAGGTGCATCACAATAAGTGCCTTGGCTCGCCGCAGTGATCTAGTGGCTAAGGTACTCGGCTGTTGGCCCGCAAGTCGCGGGATCGAATCGCAGCTGCGGGGGCTGCTAATGGGCACACAAACACTTCACGATCTTCGTCTTTCTCACCTTTTGGCTCTTCAACAACAAACTGCACGCTGGCTACTCAAGAAATAATGTCCCCATCAGTCAGGGCATCACATGCTGATGCACAGCTGTCAACTTTTACTTAATTAGCAAAACTTACGCCATGAAGAGTGCTGCACAGTGCCCTTGGCTCCACTTTCTTGACAGTGTTCGCACAGTACTTGCCCCCGGATACTTGTAACTTTGATGCGGATAAGACGGCGTTGACGGCGTGAACAGACAATGTGCTCGAAGAACAAAGTGACGTTGCCGGGTGCAGCCTAGAACTACTCCGCCACTCCACTGACAACGTGCTCTAAGAACAAAATGACGCCATTGGGTGTGGCCTAGGACTACTCCGCCATTCCGCTGACAACGTGCTCGAAGGATAAAGTGACGCGACCGGGTGCAGCCTAAAACTACTCTGCCACTTCGCTGACAACGTGCTCGAAGGACAAAGTGACATGCCGGGTGCGGCCTAGAACTACTGCTCCACTCCGCTGACAATATGCTCGAAGGACAAAGTGACGCCACCAGGTGCTGCCTAGAACTACTCCATCATTCCGCTGACAAGATGCTCAAAGGACAAAGTGACACCGCCGGGTGTGGCCTGGAACTACTCCGCCACTCTGCTGACAATGTGCTCGAAGGACAAAGTAACGCCACCGGGTGCAGCCTAAAACTACTCTGCCACTAAACTGACCGGGGGGCTTGAAGGATAAAGTGAGCCACCGGGTGTGGCCTAGAACTACTCCGCCATTCCCCTGACAAGGTGCTTGAAGGACAAAGTGACACCGACAAGTGCATGCCGGGTGCAGCCTACAACTACTCTGCCACTCCACTCAGAATGTTCTTGAAGAACAAGTGACGCCACCGGGTGCGGCCTAGAACTTCTCTGTCACTCTGCTGACAATGTGCTCGAAGGACGAAGTGACCTTGCCGAGTGCAGCCTAGAACTACTACACCACCCTACTGACAATGTGCTCGAAGAACGAAGTGACGCCACCGGGTGCAGTCTAGGACTATTCCGCCACTCCACTGACAATGTGCTCGAAGGACAAAGTGACGCCACCAGGTGCAGCCTAGAACTACTCTGATATTCCGCTGACAAGGTGCTTGAAGGACAATAGTGATACCGCCGGGTGTGGCCTAGAACTACTCCGCCACTCCGTGACAACATGCTCTAAGGACAAAGTGTTGCCACCGGGCGCAGCCTAAAACTACTCTGCCATTCCACTGACAAGGTGCTCGAAAGACAAAGTGACACCAGCGGGTGCGGCCTAGAACTACTCCGCCACGCCGCTGATGTGCTCGAAGGACAAAGTGACGCTGCCGGGTGCAGCCTAAGACTACTGTGCCACTAAACTGACAAGGGGCTCGAAGGATAAAGTGAGCCAGGGGGTGCGGCCTAGAACTGCTCCACCATTTCGCTGACAACGTGCTCGAAGGACAAAGTGACGCCACTAGGTACGGCCCAGAACTACTCCGCCACTTCACTGTCAAGATGCTCGAAGGACTAAGTGACCCCATATGGTGCGGCCTAAGATTACTCCGCCACTCCACTGACAACGTGCTCAAAAGACAAAGTGACGGTGCCATATGTGGCCTAGAATTACTCCACCACTCCGCTGACAACGTGCTCGAAGAACAAAGTGACGCCACCGGGTGCGGCCTAGGACTACTCTGCCACTCCGCTGCCTCAGCGTCCTGCGTATACAAGTGGCGCCATGCTCTGAGGTAGCGGGAGGGCAGTGGAACAAAATACCTTCGTGATTTTGGAGGTCATACTTTGCGTGCCCTTTGCTTGGGGACCACCTGAAGCACCAAGCATCAAAGCTTAAAAAACCAGTCGTGCCACCTATCGTTCAGCTGTAAAAGCTTCCACCGATATTTGACGACGATGACGCTTGGCGGTGTGCGCTCCAAATTATCTCTAGAGACGGGAATTTCTGTTCGAACTAACGAGTCATTTTTCACATGGTCTATGCACTGTGGACCGGACTGCAGCAACCATTTGGAACTATCCGAAAATTTTAAATTAGCAAGGTGTGAAATAATGAGCTTTCACTGTATTTGGAGAGGTAATGGCTTTAGTGGCCTGATGTTACTTAGGAGTTTTTTTTTTTCTATTTAGACTGGATGCAACAAGGACTGGCTCGTTCTCTCTCGTGTTTATGCTCTGTTGATCGATGCAATGAAAAGTCGCTCCTTGAATTATAGTAGTGGCTGCGTCATCAATGAAGTGCATATCGTGAGACTTTTTTGAAACGTGGGATGATGATGAACAGGGTGATTTTAGACCGCTGGGAGAGGCCTTGTAATGCAGTGATAAGTCAGAACCGGATGGTAATGATGGGAGCTAAAGCTGCTATAGTGTGGTTTAGCTTTGTAGTCTCACTCGAAACATAGTTGTTGTGACTAGGGTACAAGTGGTACAACAAAGACATGTCGCCATCTGAGCAAAAGTATCAGACGCTGTAGTATTTATAGAGCTTGAGCTAATGTCTTCCATGTCTTCTGCTAAAGCAGCAGTAGCATCTGGTAATATACCTCATTGCCTAAGTGCCAAAATCGTTGTGTAGCCCCGGGTAACTCCCTCCGGCAGCAGGCCTTCAATATTAGGTTGCAAGGCCTAACAGCTGGGCAGGAGCACTATACACGCACACACAAAAGAAGAAATGTACGCTCATCACAGAGATCAATGTAAAACTGACTGTACTGTGCAAGGTGTCTGTGTAAACATGTGACCCTAGGTTACAGAGATGAGCGCGCTGTGGCACGTTGCAAGTGCTACATTCTTGAAGTGAAACTACTCTCACCACCTCTGCTTTGGTTTCTTGTAACTCAGGCACGTGTTCGACGACAGCTCGGATGACTACAAGATCATAATGCTGAACAAGCGGCAGCTAAGCTTCCGGGTGATCAAGGTGAACCGCGAGTGCGTCCGCGGCCTGTGGGCGGGACAGCAGCAGGAACTTGTGTACCTGCGCAACCGCAACCCGGAGCGTGGCAGCATCCAGAATGCCCGCCAGGCACTGCGAAACATCATCAACTCGTCGTGCGACCAGCCCATCGGCTACCCCATCTATGTTTCGCCACTCACAACGTCGTTCCTGGAGACGTCGGAGCAGCTGTGCGGACTCATCGGCGGACCGCTTAGCATCTCGCGGTTCGGCGGTGCCCTTCTCGGCTTCTGGAATCGGTTAGTGTCTGTCCGCACTGTTCAAAGTGAAGGATTCAGAGAGTGAAAATACCGTATTTACACCACTTTAGGTCAACCCATTCTATCTAAATTGAAATCTGAAGATGGGAGGTCGACTTAGAATCGAAACCAAAATTTTTTTGTGGTAGCCAGTTTTACGGGGTGTTGACCTACATTCGAGTCGACCTTGCAATCATGTAAATAGGGTGCACTGATCACAAATGTTTAAAGGGACCCTGCCTCACTTTTACGGCGTGGTCGGAAATCGTCGATCAGTAGTCGAGGATTATTGTAACGGGCGAGCCAAAGGTTGCAGTGCAATGTGCAGTTTGGAATTTACAGTTAGTCCTTAATGTCGGCTAGAAATCATTCTTATTTTGGCAAACGGTGCCATGAACCCAAATCACCATGTCACAAACACAAAGGCCACAGCCATTGGCTGATTTTCGCATTGCAAGCTGCATAGCTACAGCTGGCTGTCGCAAAATGCCGGCCACGTGCCCCGGGCGCACTCGCGATCGCACTGAAAGCAAGCTACCCGTTCTAGAAAAAAGTTGTGCTCAAGTTCACGACATGTGCTGACAGGCAGATGCATATTCTTGCCCCTCTGGCAGCCTCCCCTACCCTACTGCGTAGCTTTCAGCACACTCGCTGGTACAAAAGTATAAAGTCCTTGAAGCGTGTGAAAAATCTCAGTAACTCTACTTATACTTGACGTATTTCATAAATTTTCGCATGGCTGATTCCCTACGTAATAAGGTCTTTTGATGAAGCTATATGATGATTACATAGAAAGGTCTAGCCGGGCTCCTTTGATGGAAACTACTGTCTCCCCAAACTTCATAACCTCCTAGCTCTATAAATCGCTTTAGCCTGAGTTAAAGGCTGATGTCATTGTCTCTAGTTTTTACATGACTTTTCTTGCAACAATGCCATTCTCAGTAGTTCGATTTTATTTAAGCATTTCGCTTAATGCCTCTTCTTTCTGTATGGTAGCCTCAAGATACGATGTGGCGAGGGCTGTTCGAGTGGTGGCACGGCCATACAAGATGACAACATATTCGACTACACCATGGCTGGTTCACTGTCGGGAAGCATTTCGAGAGGTAAGGCAATACGTTTCCGTGTCTTTTTGATGTGCCGTGTTGCTACGCTTCCGTACGCTTCGAGTTCTCGCTTTTTCCTTAACACACTTTCTCGCACACTCCCTCACGTCCCTGTTTAGGTGTGTCCGTAAGTTTTTCCTCCTCGCTACGTCTGGCAGACGAGTGACGCTTTCAAGTTTCCCTTTTTTAGTAACGCTTCGCTGTTCCACGTAACACTGCAGCAGACGTCTTGCACTCTGTGTGTGTGTGTTCATTGGCTCGTACGCACGTCATTCTGCGTGCATTTTCTGGCTCATCACAGGCATCTCGGGCAGCGTGCGATACCAGTGTGTCGGCCAGGTTGAAGACAGCAGCGTGTAGCTCCCTCTGGTGCTCGTCCTTCCTTCTTCTGTTTTCCTTGTAGGTGAATTCGCGGAGGCGCAGTGCAACCTGGAAGGCAAGTCGTCTCAAATTTAAGTAGCGCACAAGCTAGAATACTGGGGCGTTCACGATTTAAATATAGGGAGTCGTACAGTGCACTTACCTTAGTGCACCCATGTGGCGCACCCGTATGCCACACTTTACGGGTGCACGTTGTGATATTTGCACCTGTATGCTACACATTACAGTGCACCCCTATGGTACAGATGCACACAGGTGCACACATTAGCATACTGGTGCACACTTGTACTATGTGCACCCTGTATGCCGCAGTTATATGATGCACCCATGCGGTGCACTCATATAGTGCTATGGTACAGTGCACTTTCAGTCATGATTGAGACCTACATGTATAGCATTTCGTAGTCACAATTGGCTAACCTTTAAGGATGGGCAAATAGTAAATTTGAAAGTGAATTCGAAGCTAGTTGTGCTTTGGTCTGATGATTTCGAATCGAATAGTATATATAAATATAATAAAAATTTCAGTTTTTCTTGCATGCTCCAACTAACTTGCACAATATTTTTGTTTAGAATGAGGCATGTGCAAATGCTACTTTATTATTTCAAAGTCAGGAGAACGCAACTTGCAAGATTCGAATGGCAGTGTGGTTCAATGTGGTAAGTGGTTGAATATGTTACGTTTCAAAATTTGCTACACTTAATGCATATAAGCTCTTCTAAACACACTTTGAAACATTCAAAAAATAATAAGGAATATGGGTGCATGTAAAATGTACATTTAGCTTTGAATTGTGTCTTAGCGGAGGGTGGATTTCTTCTGAAAAGGGGGTTTCATATCCCAAAAGGCCTGAAACTGCAGCGAGTGAAACCTTCTTTTCAGATAGGGTTGCACTATTCATTTATTTTTAATACTGCAAAATTTGAAATCGTGGATGTGACACAGTCTGTCATGCATGCTAGTGATTTGATGCGAGAGAGATGGGCTTCAGGTAGAACGTTTTACTGTGTGGTGGGTAGTCCTTTTTGCTAGCAATACTCTTTGCCACTTTTGCATGGCCTCTTTGCAGTGAAGCTTAATCAAGTCATTGTGTTATATTGAAATGCAGGTAAAACCTTAGCTACCAGAGCCATGTGTGTATTAAGGCTCATTAGAATGATCAGGTGCCGAAAACCTGCTGTGTGATCCAAAGAGCTAATAAAATAAAAAAGCATCGAGCGTCCACTCGCGTGTCTCATCGCTCCAAATGTGCGAGCTGCGCGATCGCTCTGTCTTTGCAGTGTTTTCGAGAATCAAAAGTTAAAATATCGGGGTTTGTGGGACTTTCACTTTGTGTTTATAAAAAAAACTGAGGTAATTGAGAAGAAGCTGAGGAAGACGATCCCTTGGCATGACAAATGCCATGGGAAGCTTCCATGGTGCAGCACCAGCTGCTTAGAGAACAAAAAAAAATTACAGCATATCCACAGAGTGAATGATGATGAGTGGGGTGAAGTGTCCGTCAGCCCATCTGTGCTTCGATCCATCCGTTCGTTTGTTCTTGCTTCCATACTGTCAGCGAGACCGTCCGTGTGTCCATCCATGCATCTGTCTGTCTATCCGTTTGTCTGTTCGTTCGTGTGTCCATACGTCTGCGCATCCGTCGATCCGTCCGTCCGTCTTCTAGTCCGTCTGTCCGTCCTTCCGTGCATCCATCTAGTGAACACTCCAAGTACCGCCATCTTGCATCTCGCATCCCCTGTGGCACATACCCGCACCGTACGTTCGTCCATCCGTCCCTCCGTCCGTGCGTCCGTCCGTGCGTCCATCTAGTGAACACTCCAAAGAACCACCATCTCCCATCTCGCATCCCCTGTGGCACATATCCACTCTAAAGCGGATATGTGCCACTGGGGGCTACGTACAACAACGGAGGATGTACAGACCCACGCCTTAAGGAGCTTTGCTCCTAAAACATTGTCATTTTCAGGACCCTGCTTACTGATGTCCAAAAAAAATGAGAGCCACACTGAAGGCAGTAAAAGCAATGCCGTGCATATGCATGGCCATAAATAAAGACAATTAAAATAATAATAGTAATGTCTGGAGTTTCACGACCCTAAATTATAATATGATCATGAGAGGTGCCTTAATGGAGGGCTCTGGAAATATCTGCTATCTGGCGTTTTTTAACGTATACTGACATCGCAAAGTACATAGGGCTTTAGCATTTTGGCTCCATCACAATGTGACAGCCACAGCCGCGATCAAATGCATAACCTTCGGGGCAGCAGCCCAAAGGCAGTTAAGGGAGTAGGGATTTAAATAAGAACTGTCAATGATGGGATGATCAAATCAAAATAATTAGTCAGTGAAACTAATTAATAAGGTTTGTAGTAATTAGTAATGGCTCATTAATGAATGTTGAACCTAGATATAAAGCACACAGTAAGATGGGTAAACTTTCTTTGCTCAGAACTACTTAATCTACTAGACATGGCAAGAAAAGACACCCAGAGAACATCACTTCATCGCACATCAGTGCATTCACGGATGCTTTAGAGGCGAAACTCCTGAAGGTCAAGGTGTCTTCGTTGGCACTGGCGTTTTGCTCGGTAGCCACTTATGACGACGATGCTGATGACGATGAAGAAAAAGCGCGTTCCAGACCACACATTCTCTTTGTGCCATCATGCCACAGCACATGCAAGGTACCCACTATCGTCACAATGATGACGATCACGGACGACTGGCTTGTGTTGTAGACGATGTGTAGATATGCTGTATGATGCATATTGTATGGCTGCAAGCAGCCAACAATCACCAAGGGAACGTGCCCAGACCTCATCGTGGCCAACTTCAGCCTATATCCATACCACGGACCAGTAATAGTGAAGGCGAAATGAAACCCACAATTCAATACAACATACCATTATGACCAATAAACATTGTATATAACTGTACAGAGCTTTGCACTCATTTGCATACGCGAGTAGTCAATGTCACAGTTCACTTAGGGTAACACCGAACGATCCCACTGCTTCGCTCACTCGTCATCATTCTTTTTGGGGATATGCCTTGATTTTTTTTTCTCTCCATGTCAAGTATATTATGTAGTTTTCCACCAAGAAGTCGATCATGTTTAACTACTAGACCACCATTAAAACAGGTTAAAATACAGTCACACCTTGTGGCTTTCACCTTTGAGCTTTGATGGGTGAACACAAAGAAAGCATTACGAGTGTTGAGCCATGCACATGTAAAGCCCTGCAGATTTAATGCCTTGTTTGCATGCAACTCCTAAGATGGTGTTCTTTTGTCAGCGTTGTTATTTTCAATGAAGCAAGAAGCATTTACCATCTCTTTCAGAGAAACGTACTGTGGTGCAGTGTGGTGCTGTGCTCGACACGTCAGGAGTTGCCTTGAATGCTTTTAGTGTATGCGTAGTAGAGTGCCTTACATTTGCTTCATACTGTTTAGAACTGTGACAGCTGTTTGATATAGACATATTTGTTCAACTGTATGATAAAATGAATCTGAAATGCATTGTGATTGCATCAGGACGTTGTTGGGGTGTCGCCTGTGTTTACTGAGCTCTCCGGTAGTGCCACCTGGTTGGGGACTAATGGGCGTGTCTAAATGAAGAACCTGTTTCGTGATGCTCACCGTAGGGACGTCTCTCTGGTTCCAATGCACATAGCATCCGAGCCAACTCAAAACGCAACTGAGGGTAACAAATATATACTAATATTACCAAGTAACACTAATATTGGATATAACTGAGGCATTTTTCTGTTTTATGTGGCTCATTGTCGCAAGGATGATCTATACTCAGCCATAAAGCTCGCCCGCTGTTCTCCTAAAAGGACATATGTATTTTCTGTTCGCCAATAAGACTGTGTTACATGTGGTGCTTTCATGTTTCACACACAGTCAGATGCATAGTGAAAGCAGCCAGTAGTAGTAGAATTGCATTTAAGTTCAGAGGGATGTCTGTGAATGTAAAGTGAGACAGTTTCAGTAGCTTAGTTCTCACTTATTAGAGCTAAAAAAATTGAGAATGACCACTACATTTAAAAGTGAAGCGGTTCTTGATCGAGCTTTTCATGTCTGGAATTCGTGGTAACCTTTGTGGGCATGCACCACAGACATTGGGTAAATCTCTCTACTGCCCACTGGTCTACCAAAAATGAAGGAAACAGTTAAGCAAACTAATATGTGCCACAGAAATCTGCGGCGTATCAGAAAACTATCACTGTCATGAACGCGCATGAGCCACATAAATTGGGTGGATTCCATCAGACACAGAACTTCATTAAAGGGCCCCTAAACCACTCAGCGTTCGAAATTTAGTTGAGGTAAGGAAGTTGTGCTCGAGTTTACAACTAACACGTAGCTGTGAGAATTTTTCGTAAACGGTGCCGTAATAGCGGAGTTACACGCGTTAGATGATCGAAATGCGACGATCACTTCTTTCCCTCTTTCTTACGCTACCCTCTTACAAAAACGCTTGGCCCCTTCTCGCTGAGTCAGCTGTGTGTCCCTCCTCCTCTTGCATGGCATACGTCACTGCTGACGCGCTGTTCGAGGCAGCGTCTACTTCCGGTGGCCGCGATCCACCACTCGACGCCCCATCGCA